CTATGTAAGGCCATGCCTGAGAAAAGATGCAATTGTGTAATTGAGTTTTTGGAGAAGAGCATATAACAGATTAGCAGTACAGAGTTTTCCCTCTTGGATCAATTTGGCGATATATATGTATGTAAGGCCATACCCGCAAAAGCTGCAATATTGTACTTGAATTTTCGGAGGAGAAGGTAACCTACTTAGGAGTACACTGGCATAGCTTCCGAGTGCCCGGTGATCGGGTTGGGACCACTTGGGTCCGCACCCGGCTCCCACTTCAGGTTTCGACCCCTGGTACGACCGTTCCGGACACCTTCACTCTTTTGGTATGACGTGGCGCGCTGTGATTCGTCCAAATTTAACTCCGAACTTCATTTGGCTTGCTGCCGGAGAAGTATATACCGGTACACTGCTTGGGTAGATTACGCCGGGGTGGACAAGGCAGCTCTCCTTGGGCCAAAGCAACGACCGGTCGGCTATCAGGAGCCTTCCCGGGACCCTTCCCTGGGTCGAACTTGCACAAGACGAAGCTTCCTCTCGAGGTTCCGGCCAGGCAGCCTGCACTTTCCGCTACAGGAAATGCACATGATGGCAATGCACCTAGCAGGGAGTCCCTGCCAAGAAGGCGCCAATGGGACAGCTAGCTTTCAACTCTGAGGGGCGCTAGGGAAGGCATTCAGAATCACAACCACCACTGCATCACCAGGTAGTATAAAGCCACTTTCTTCCAAGCATTTGGTATTGCACTACAGCCCCTTGTTTTCCAGCATTCCATTCAATCCGGGAAATTTTGCCCCTCCTTCTTCAAGAGCCTCTCTGTTGAAGCAGTCTTCTTTCGTGACAGCCGCATCAGCAGATGGCAGCCCCTGTCGAAAAGAGCGAAGGTAAGACTAAACGTCCCACGCACTCTGCTTTGCTGATTGCCCCTACTAGACTGCGACATGTGAGTCTATCAGATTGCGGCTCAGCGTTTTGAAGGGATCTCAATTGGTCAGCTTCCACTTTTGCGACATGTCTCTTCTGGAGTCTGGCCTACTTGTGGTTTCTTTCAGTGCACATCAGCCAGCATTATGAGAGAAGTGGGGGACCGTTTGATCCAAAGAGGCAGCTACGGTCGGAAACCCTCTGTAAAATGTCTTGCAGCAAGAGGCGAAGCTAGCCAGAACAAGGCAGAGATCAGGACTTTGCCTAATGTGTGGGGGTTTGCTGCTGATTCTTTTGACCTTGTCCTAAATGCAGAAGAATGGAGGGCGATCCTGAGCCCTGAGCAGTTCCGGGTGATTCGTCAGAAGGGAACGGAGAGGGCTGGAACTGGGAAGTACAATAAGCACCATGAAGATGGAGTCTATCTATGTGCGGCCTGTGACGCGCCACTGTACAAGTCGACCACAAAGTTTGACTCAGGGTAAGGAGGCGTCTGAGAGGATTATCTGTATGGCAATCAAAGGCCCATCGCGTCGAGAAGGGGATTCTTGAATCAAGTCACAGAATCGGCTCAACTTTTCTTAGGCCCGCTCTTTGAGCGGCCCGGAGTTGGCTAGGAACATGGAGATATCAATTGACTGTCAGCAAAGGACAATTGGAAAAGTTCATTAGCTTCTGGCTCTGTCCCCAGAGAGTGTGTCGCTTTGATAGCCTGCAAAGCACGTCCGCATTCTGGAGATAGCACAGGTTGTCTTCCATTGACCGACCGATTCGTGATGCCAACTTCCCAAGGCATATAAACGGGCCGTCTCACCGATTTGCATTCTACTGCTGCCAGGTGTGGCTGGCCTGCTTTCTTTGACGGTGTGCCTGGTGCCATCGTACGGAAAACGGACCGGGATGGGAGCCGGACTGAAATCCTGTGCGCCAGGTGCAACGGCCACTTGGGTCACGTGTTCAAGGGCGAGGTAAATTTACGATCAGATTGTTTTCCCCAAGCCTGATTGGTCATGCCATGATTGCGGGGACAACAGATTGGAGCAGATGACTCTCTAGTCGACTCACTCTGCAAAAAGGGTCGGCCTAAGAGTTATCGGTTTGAGAATTTGTCCACGCACCTCCCCTTGTGACTGGCTGAGGATGCAGAGGGGAGGATTCTTGCTGGGGTATCGTTTGAAGGTTCTGAACCTGACGGATTTAATGCTCGTTGCTTCACTGAGCTGACCCCGGACTCAAAATTTGAGGTTCTACACCCCATGCTTCAATCGATTGGGTAAATAGATCCGGGATCACTTTGCATGATCTGACTTCTTTATCCTGGTCCCTTGGTTCCCATGCTTCGCACCTCTGAAATGATTAGATTGCTCTGGCCTGCAGAGATTCAATGTGCCCACAGACGAGAGGCATTGTGTCAACAGCGTCTCCTTGAAGTTCACTCCTGAGAAAGAGTGAAGCTTGCCCGGAAAAGGATTGGTCTTGCTTAGGCGAAGGAGGACCAGCCTGCGTTCTGTGAGATCTACAAGATATGGTCTCTTGCTCGTTATCTGTTGTTGGAAAAACTGACAGCCGGAGGAATGCGAGTTGTAAAAATATGTGTAAAGAGCCTGCGGAACTGTACAATGGACCGCCTTATAAATTAAAGTTGTTGAGCTGCTGACCAGAGTGGCATGTGCGGCATAGCCACACAGGGCCTCACTGTCATTGAAATGCCAGGCCTCGGCACTGGCCGCGCCCATGCTTCGGAGTTGGTAAGTTCAAACACGATCAAATATAGTCATGTGTCAAAAACGGTTCGTGCACGTAGTGGCGTGCGCCACCTGCTATAGGGCTTCCTTACTAAAATGTATCATTGCTCCATGCACCATTTCCGTTGCATCATTGACCAATTATATAACATGTATCCGACTGAGCCCGTTGCTTGAAGCGCGGCAGGGCCTTGCAGTTTGATCTAGTATATAATACATGGGATGCAGTGACTGAGATCACGTGGGAATGAATGATGAGCTACTACTAATACTCGCACGAATGATGATTACTGAACGTTAGGCCGGACGGTATGCAAAATTAAATAGTAGCTTTGCGCATGCAATTAAAAGTAGCCACCATCGCGATGGTTGCATATGGTATAGCCTCTATGTATACTGGCTGCATGTGCCATGTGCAGACACGGGCAGGCGGCGCGCCTGCAATCACGGAGTTGCGTCTTGTGCATGATTCATGCAATGGTACATGCGGCATAAAGTTCAAGTTTGACTGCATGACTGGCATCGTATACCCGGCGTTGCACGCATCATTGACTAGCCTGCTGATATTGGCTGCGGATATGTCTGAGTCAAGCGTAACATGTTCAACGTACTTAATGATCAATCGGCCTGCCGCCCTGGCTTACAAGTAATCAGGCAGCAACACTATCAGCGTGGCAATCTGACAGCTAGTTTTCGCAGCATAGGACAGGCACCGGTCCTGGCTTTAGCCCAAAGCACTTATGCATGGTCAGTCCGCGGCCACTGTCCGCAGGCAAACTCTGCGAAATCGTCAACATTGAAAGCGGTCGTTTAGTACCCAAAAGCATGTTTTAGGTGGGGCCGGGTGGGACAACCAAGCTATGTACGGGCTTCGATCAATCGTTGAAGGTGGACTTCTCTCATGAGACCCTCTTTAAGCATTCGAGAATTTTTTATTTATGTCTTTTACGATGCAGCTCTCGTATCGACTCCGGCTTGTTGAAGCCATGCAAGATGCGTTGGGCTTGTCTCCTGCAAAGAGGACGAGACTTCAGCCAAAAAGGCATTGGGAATTGGAAGGATGCTCTTTCATTGCTTCCGAACGTTCAGTCTTCGAATCATACAGAAGCACCTTTAGGAAAATTTCCAAACTTGTTTAGACTCATGCCACGCTACACGAGAGAGCAACATGAGAAGAGTCCGGCAGGGATTGAACCCCGCTGCAAGGGACGTTCCCGTTTTTGGAAGTAGACATGTTATGAGGTGCCTCCAACCAGAGTCCCCTTGGACACACGTGAAGGAAGGCGCATAATCTGAGGACGAGTCGTGCTCCGAATCTATCTTTGCGAGCAAGCCCTTGCGCGCGTTTAAGCGGGGATTCGTCTGAGTCCAGAAGAATGTCTGCAAATGGATCCATCAGCTGGTCTTTGTTTCAATTTCCAAAATACTTCTGCAGCATGCTGATGGATTTATTTGCAGACAAAGACCTTGCTTCAAGAACGTCGCCTCGTGAATCTTGTAGCCTTAAGCACTTGGCCATCAATCGGAGCTCCCATCAGAACAGATTCAACAGCACCAGCCTAGCATCCTTCAGACCTGGACGCCAATCAGCGAACCTCCTCAAAGATTCTTGAAATGAAGCCCGCTCACCTTTGACAAAAACCACCCGTTCCGCCACTCAAACTCGGCCAGCGCCATCTCCCGGCTCGGGACCGCTGCCCCTATCGCCAGAGAGTATTCACACAGGCTGTCGACAAGCCGTTCAATCCTTTCCTCAGACCCGTCCGCCGTCGATTCTACGGGCAACGTTTCAGAAGCAACACTGTTGCTACTCCAGTGAGGATCCCCTTCCTGAGCTCTCGTTGGCAGCAAACCCCCGCCCGGAATGGAGTCGTCTTCTCCACTTGCTAACCTTGCTACATCCCCGATTAAGGGGACGTCGTCCCAATAGCGAGCTTTCAAACCACTTCTACAGCTGTGCTTTTCAAAAGCTTGCGCAGCGGCTCCTTCTGGCGACCTGGCGCTGACGACATCCTTTATGGAGGTCGCCCGGTGTCCGGCAGTTGACGATGTCGTGCCTGGGGCCGCCTGTGCGGAGGACGATGCACCTTCCGGAGATCCGTCCGCGGAAGATGCCACGTGTGCGTCCGCGATTGGCAGGAGCTCCGCAACGAGCGCCCGGACGTCCAAACGGTTCTCTCGAGCAATCCTACCGACCTGCAAGTGGAAGCGTCGCCAATTTCTAACCGGATTGTTTGGAACAGAGTGTTGTTAAATGCTTCTGGCAGCCATGCAATCGTGTAAAGTCTTGACGGTAAAGATGGTAAAGAACAGCAGTTTGAGCTTGAGCTGATCGAAAGTCCAACTTTCGATCGAGTTTGAAGACAGTTCTGACAGCCCATGATAAAGATCTTCTTTTCGTCTCATTTATCGTACGTTGTTGGAAGTGAGGAGCATCGAAGTATGGAGATGCTCGAATAAAGCGAGAACCCAGTAAACATTCTTTCCCGAGAGCGAATCTAGCAACCTCCCTTTTCCCCTTGAGGAAGCCTGACAGCGCTGACTCTAGTTTGCTTCCGTGTAAACAAGCACGACACAAAGTGTTCTCGCGGCTCCTCTTTATAACCATGGTCAGGGGTGTCCCATTTTTGCAACAGGTCGAGACCACTTTACTCATTTCCGCAGCAGGTACGGACCGGTCTACTCGCTTCCCGTAGCAGGTACGTACCGGCTTGCCGGCCAGGCCCGCCGACAGCAGCCAGAAAATGGAGCTCCATAGTAGCTTCTCGACCGTCAGGCCGGAGAACGTCGCCCAGTCGTCGATCACGGCAGCGCGGACGCCACCACTTTCAAGAATCTCCACGACAGTGGTGGCCCATCTGCAATGACGAGGGAAGTGAAGACTTGGGAGGCTTTCACACCAGTACGAGTCTGCCCTCCGGCTGTGTGATTGATTTCTGCTGGAAGCTGGATTCGACCCCAGGCCTTACTTGCGACAGAAGGTGGTCTCGGCTGAATACAACTGTTTGCTTGTCTGAAAGCGGATTGAGGAGATCTGTGGGTAAAGGCCCCGTTGCTGGTTGTAAGAAGAAAGCTTCTGTACCTTTTCCAGCAGAGAGGGCAGTATCGAAGTAGAGAGCCTTTTGAGGCATGTGAACGTGTAGAAGGACCCGATGAAAGTTTCCATTTTTCATACATGTGAACTTCGTACCCTCCGAAACATGAGGCTTCGCGTTTCCCAGAAGAGTGTGCCTTCTGCATACCTGTCTTCTGACAATGCATGTTTCGAAATAAAAACACAGGATGTTGATCAGCCCCGAGCAGCGGACACGAGAAACCATGATCCGTCAGTCGGAGCACTGGGAAGGACTTGTTATCCGCCTGGAACCCGGTTGCATCCACCGGACACTGTAAGATTCGGCTCACCTACCCCAAGCCGTAGTCTTCCCGCCCCCATCTACGACACGCATCCTCGCCGGGTTGGAATCGTCCACGGCAGACGAGAAGTAAAGGAGGGCCAGCGTGCAGTCGGGCAGAAGATGCTGCTGTCTTAGCCAGGGGAAGAGCATGCCGTTCTGCATGGCAGAGAAATGGTGTCGTTCTGGGTCGGCTTGATTCTTGTCAAGCGGTTTGTATACTTGCATTCGCAGTTGTCGATGGGCTGGTCACGTCCGTTAGAGATCCTATGGCTCTCGACTGTGGACATGAAGGCAGCATGGAGGCTGACGATTCAAGGGGTCTACGTTGACACTAACAATAGCTAAAGTGGAGAGGATGCACACTCTCACGGGCTGCTTACTCAATAACGGCAGAAACTTTGTTACGGGAGCTCACATGCGGTACTATGGTGCATGGGCAGATAAGTCTGGATTCAAAACTGGGTCTGGACACAATCGAACTTTGTACCATCCAGTGTTGACATTCTGGGTGACATTGAGGTTACCAAACTTCGCTGTATCATAGTTTTACAGCTTCTAGCTTCTTCGTCACTGGATAGCTTCAGGCCATAAAGAAACCAGACTTCCAGCATCCTTTTCATTGCCACGCCGAATGTTTTTCGATTTAGGTGTGGAGTTAAATGATCATACAGCCATTTCGAGAAAAGTTTGAGTCCTGCCACCAAGCTAGATTGATACTTCTTCCAGTGGCACAGACTTTTGACGTTCCAAATTTGGCAGCCTCGCCAAAAGCATTCACCTGAAGGAAGACCAAGTCAGGCCGCCGCTTAAGTGGTACCCATTCCAGGACGTCTTGCAGGTCGCCGTTTCTTGTGGCCACCAGGACTGGTCCAGACTGCCAGCTGTCCTCTTCCCGGTGTGATTCAGGCGCATCCGGGATGCCCTCCCCCCGACCAAGAAGCAGGGCCCTGAGAAGAGATACGCGCGGGATCCAGATTCGCAGAGTCCTTGCCCTGCTTCATTGTAAGCCTCGAAAGGTTTGGGGACACTTGAGACCTGCGAAACCTCAGAGTGCCAGTGTTAAAGAAGTTACCTGACATGGATCTGGTTTGGTCGCCGGTCAAGTCTGAGCAAATGCGTGACGCCCACACCATGCTTTGTGCGTGGGACACAGGTGACAATGAAGGACCCTGTAAAAACAGAGCTGGGATGCGCGAGCTTCAAGATTTCCAGTAGTATGTAATGTAATCAAACTATCAGCAGATTTTCAAGACCGGAAGAAACAAATTCTGCATGCACTTCTATTCTCTTCTCAATTGTGTCTAAGGCTAGACGCCTTGCTGGCCCTTTCCTTGACACTGAGTGAAGTATGGTTGAAACATAGAATGTTACACCACCAAGCACAGACTCCATTTCTACAGACTTACCTTTTCCCGGCCATCTGTGCGAACGCCCTCCCAATGCGGCCTTCCCCAATGATGGTCACCGGCGGGCCGTCATACTGCGAACAGACTCGCAAGTGTGCCCCAGGTTGGCCCACAACAGGGCACATTGACTGTTCTAGAAGACAGGCGTGTGCAAATTGGGTGTTGAGAGCAAGCGCGCCCAGCTGGTGATGAGCAATGCAGGCAGTATTTGACCGCAGCATTCTGTTATGTTTTGTGCGGCGCCGGGACCCGGCTGCGCCTTCACAGTGAAAGAATCCAAGCGAGACAATGTTGCTTCAATGTAATCCCGCAAACCGGTCCATAACCTACCAGGCGGTCTGAGACTCTGTACCTCAGACGACTTAGAGCCCTTTAGCAATCTAACTTCTCTGCACTTTGTGCTGTCGCTGATTGGATGCCATGCAATAGCCTATTGATAGGTAGGCAATACTAACAGGTAGCAATGCGGTGATTGGCATGCAGCCTTTTTGGCACTTGAGCGGCCGCGCGGGGGCCGCCGCATCCGGAAACTGGGTGGCGGTGTCAAACCTTGAGGGTTTAGCGCTCGTCGATCCATTACCATAGCGACTCGGTCATTACCATTCGGCCAAGCCTCTCTGAGGCATCCGAATTGTTTGCAAGCAGCAAGGGCAAGCTGGCAAATTGTGATGCGCATTGCAAAACGAATGCAGGAGCTGAGCTGAGATTGAGTTGCTGCTTGTTGCTCCTCCTGCCACAAACCTGGAAGGGTCTACCTGCGGACAGCATGTCCTGCTGCAGCAGTGTCCTTTTTAGGGAGCTGCAGCTCGGACTTGGCGGGCAACTAAGGACGGTGTCACGGGTTCAGACTGCGCAGACCAGCTCTAGTTGGGCTCCAAAGTTGACACCAATTCGTGAGCTCGTTTTGGATTATAAGAGGCTTTCGTTTCCAGCCACCACCCCTCCATCAGAAAGAAAGAAGGCTGCCATGTTGAGGCTTGCCGCCTTGCGGGCAAGGGGCATTCAGACTGCTTCTCTGGGGGTGCATCAAGTCTCTAGGAATGTCCGTTCTTTATTTGAAGCTGTTCCTACGGAGAGCTTTCCAATTGGAAGGCAATGGAGACATCTCAACGCTGCTGCCGCCAGCGATGCTGCGATTGTCGATGTTTTGGACGAGTCCGTGATTGACAGCCAGTCAACATCCTTGAGCTCATCATCAGACTTGCGACCAGACACATCGCAACTAGATGCGGCTGCTCAAGAACATGAGCTGGGTCCGGAAGGCCACTCAGAAAACTTGTCGGAAATGCCGTCTGAAACTCCCTCCAACACCTTGTCCGAAATCGCAAACCTCAGCAGCGAAACGCTTATGGGCGCCGCCGAGAAGGCCGCCGCCGCCGCCGTGCTTCCGAAAACCAAACCCATCCATCCAAAACAAAACTCCGAGCTAGAACTGGTCTGCGAGAGCCTGGCCTACGGAGGGGCTGCCGTGTGCAAAGTCCCGGAAACGGGCTTCGTGTTGATGGTCAACGGGGCGCTTCCGGGGGAGAGGCTGCTAGCGCGCGTGATGAGGAAAAAGCGGAGTATGGCGCAGGCTGTGAAGCTCAGGACGTTAGAACCGCCGCCAAATCTGGTGGAACCCCCGTGCCAGCACGCGACAGATTGCGGCGGGTGTAAGACACAGAACTGGGCGTATGAGTCGCAGGTAGCGGAGAAGCAAAAACAGGTAAGTGACAAGGAAAGGTTTGCCCCTACTACCAGGAGTGCTATCCAAAATTTCCAGGTCGTTTCGCTTATGGCCGCTTCAAGACGCAAGACGCCATCGATTGTGACAGAGGGCTAGCATTGACGCGTGAGCTTGCGCCTTGAATTCTTGCGAGATGGTTGCAAAGATCAGCTCAGAGCAACCATCTTAACAAAGTCACTTTTGCCTTGGACTTTGGAAAGATTGGAGGCTCCGATTGCTGAAGTCTCCGAGTATTGTTCACTTTGAGCCTCTCGAACGTCTCAGCTGATATCACCTTCCCGCGGTCCTTGATCGTCCAACGGTTTTTGGCAAACGCCCATCGCTGATGCAGGACGAGGAGCCTATCATCAAGAGTGCTGAAATCTTCTAGTATCTTTCACTTGAGACCCCCAAACGTCTCAGCCGACTTCACCTTCATGTCGTCCATGATCGTCCAACGCTTGTTCCAAATCGCCCATCGCTTATGCAGGTCGAGGAGCTTATCATCCGGGTGGGACGCTTTCCCAGAGGCTCCGGCTGGATGAAGCCCGCCGTGCCCTGCGAACAACGCTTCAACTACAGGAACAAGGTCGGTGGAAACGACAGAGCACAGTTGTCGTTCTCATCACATCACTGCCAACGACTGAGAGAGTTCATTTGACATGGTCCGTCGAATCTGCATACACCTCGCCGGTTGAAAGTCGTGATTCCCCTGCATCCATGCGACAGCTTACATACAAGGTACTGATTCATTTGTTTGAGTGTTCGCAGCCTCGACTTTAAGGGTCATCTAACGGAATTGGACTGTGTTTGGGGCAAAAGGCGCGAGTTTGCCCCAAACCAGGTTTCCATCGAAGAATACTTCTTCGTGCTTTATTACTCAAGGATAAGGCCATTGAGTCGTTCCGAACGGCAGAGATGCGCAGTCGAGCCGGGAAACGTCTGTGAACCAGAATCTTTCGGGTCTCCTCATCTTTGGTTCTCTAGCAGTCAAGACTCAATGCAACCGTCTTTTGCTGCCCGCAGATGGAGTTCTCTTTCGGCAACCGGATCTGGACGGCCGTGGCTCCGGGAAAGGCCCCACGGACCGCGCCGGGAACCGCGAAACCGCCCCCGCAACGAGGGACCGACTTTGGGCTGGGTCTGCACGCTCCGGGCAGGTTCGATAAGGTGAGACGCGCGCGGTTCGTTGACGTCATCATCTTGTCGAAGAGTCTGTAAACCAGGTCTTAGCTTGGATTCACACGCTGGGGGTCGGTTTGATCAGGTGAGGGGCTCGAGGGCGAAGTTAGAGAGGAAGGGTCTGCTGACGTCATCGAGGAGTCGACTCTTGGGCTGGGCCTGCGGGCTCCGGGAGGTTCGATAAGGTGGGCCGCTTGTTAGGGAGCAAGATGTATTTTGAGGAAGGGGTTTCCAGACGTCAAGTTTCCCGTTGAATGCACTCGGAACTCGTACGGGGGCAAAAGGGGTTGCGTTGAAGTGGAGGAAGGGTTTGCTGACGTCACCATTTTCGTCAACGTCAACTCGGAACTGGCTCTTAGGCTGGGTCTGCACGCTCCGGGTCGGGTCGACACGGTGAGGCGCTCGTACGCGGACGAGCTTAGAAAGAAAGGGTTCGCTGACGTTATCGTAGTGTAAAGGTCACAAAGGAATCAGACCCTTGATCTGCATCGGCTGGCCTTGGTCGGATTGACATGGTGAGGCGCTCGAAAGGGGGCGTAGTTTTGAGTTCAGAGAAGGTTTGCTGACTTGGCTCGAGTCGCAGTGCGACCGTTCGGTTTAGTCACGAGGATCTAATCTCGAGATTGGCCCTGGGGATCGCAGATCATGAAGCAATCTTCTACCTGGTTCATGATGACCGTAACAAACATACCACGATCGAGACATCTCCGCTGCAATTCTTGGTCATTCCCAGCCACTTCCTGAATCCGTTCCCGAAGCAGGAATTTGCAGACTAAAATAGTGGCAGTCTGGAAATCCGTGTGAGGAGAAGACGAATCACCTCTTGTACGTCGCTGCTTGGTGCAGATTTTGCCCATTGACGAGTGCTGGCTGCAAGACGCCGCCGCCAACCGGGTTTTGCGGATCGTCGCGGAGTGGGCACGTGGCAGCCAGGCGGAGTGCCCCGTGTACGACAGCGTGACGCACGACGGGTTCCTCCGCCACCTCACCATCCGAAAGGGCAGGTGAGAGCCCAAAGGGTTTAGCCGTCCGATTCTAGCTCTTTGCTTTTGCGCGTCCGCCTTTTGCCGTCCGAATGTGGCCGTTCAGTTCCAGCCGTCAGAGCCTGGCCATCTTGTGTCGATTTCGATGCCAGAATGTTTGCGTCGCTGGACAAGCCGGACGGTTGAGGGCCGTCCGCTTGATGGCGAACATCTGGGCCGTAGATCCACTTTCGCAGTCTGCTCCATCTCAAAGCCTTTCTCTGTGTCGCACTTCAGCATTTTCTTTCGAGCTATTCCGATTAAACTCGGGCAATAGTTTACCTTTTCTCGTAGTCGGACACCGTTCGGACACGGGCGCTGTCTACTTGATATTGAACCTCCCGACCGCGAACTTTGAACGGGGTCAGCCTAGACTCCTAACTCCCTGCTTCTCGTCGAGATGCGATGTCGGATACTTAGCATATTGCTGTCGCCACTCGACAACTTGTGACTCGAGCGCTTCAGATACTGAGGCCGTCTAGCTGATGGGCGACATGGATGCGGCAGCATTTGCCGCGGTTCCGCAAGAAGCAAGGCCGTTTGGACGTCTTTTGGACACACGAGCCTCTTTTCAACGAACAGTAATCCGGACAATGAAGTTTCTGTTTTTCCATTCGGCAGCGATACGGACACTAAGGCCGTCTAGCTGATGGGCGACATCGAGACGGCAGCATTTGCCGCGTGTCCGCAAGAATCAAGGCAGCTCGGACACCTTCCGGACACACGAGTCTCTTTTCCGACAACGAACAGTAATCCGGACAGTGAAATTTTTCTTTTTCCATTGGACATCGATACGGACACCGGCGCCGTCGGGCTGATGGTCAACATCGAGCGGTAGCGTTCGCCCCGTGTCCGCACTATACTAAAGGAATTCGGACACCCTTAGAACATTCGAGTTTCTTTTCCAACGAATAGTGATTCGGACGACGAAGTTTCTGTTTTTCTATTGGACAGCGATACGGACACGGGGGCCGTCCGGCTGATGGTGAATATCCAGACGGCGGGGTCGCAACCAGAGCTGCTGCAGCCGGTGGTGGACCGCTTAGTCGCGGAGGTGCCGGAGGTTGCGTCCGTCGTGAACAACGTCAACGACTCGCCTGGCTGCGGCTCGGTGAGGGTACTCGCAAGTTCTCAAAGTTCGGAGGATCTGAAGACTATTGAGAACTTTTGTCCTACGCCGATCAGCGGTGACTCCGCCGGCGGTGGCCCTCGTATGACTAACGTCATCGACTTTTCCGGCTGCTGTTTCTTCTGGTGAGACTACCATGAGGATTCGGGGGCTAGGATCAAAGACTTGGGGTTCAGGGACTCAGGACTGCGATGTCCGTGGTCTGACTTTGGGATTTCGCACGGCTTTCTCCATGGCACTCATGCTGAACAAGGATTGCCGATTCGCCCGATTTAAACACTCGAAACCAGTCAATCTTTCCGAGAGGCTTCACCATCTCGTGGAAACATATGTTCTTCATCCGAACCTCCGGTCGTTCCGTGTTCCTGTTAAACAAGCCCATTTTTAAGCCAAGGTCGAGGTGATTCTTGGAAGACTTTGTCAGTACGGCCATGCTCTTCTTCCTTTCATGCCCAGTTAACGCTCGTCATCACTCATAGTGTGTAGCGTAGCGTGTATCATTGTCTGTGAACTGGCTGAGAACGTGGGCATTTGCAAGGGAGGTTGTCCACACCAATGGAGACGCTTATTGTACTTTCACAGAACACATGTGTGAGACCTAGTCGAATTTGTTCTCTGACCTGGCTTTACTAAATGCCTCTGCGGAGCTGCGCACTCTTCTGACGTCATTCCACCGGTTTCTCCGCAGGTGGGCAAGCAGGAGCACCTGCTGTACGGAAAACCGTACATAAAGGAACGACTACGGGGCCTTGAGTTCGAGATTTCAGCCAACTCCTTCTTCCAGACCAACACCAACCAGGTGCGGCTCTTGATGAGGATCTGCCACGTGCCACGTGTACAGCGCCTGCCACGTGTACGGCCAAGATGGTCGTTTTCGAAGTCGTTCTTTGAGACCTCGACGGAACGTTATTCTAGCAGTGAACTTGGAAATCGACTTGAGGTTTAGGCATAGATTATTGGCAACTTAAGTCCCCTGCTCCAGGACGCGCCAGAGCAGATGCCGCCTCTTTTCGTAGACTCAGCGCTGGTCCACGTAGTATAAAGCCGTCTTTTAGTCAGACCGGCACATCTTCGCTCCGTCTGCTTCTCAAACCTGCTTGTCACGCTGAGATTTTGATTCCTCTGCTCTTGCAATATCGCGACGCCCTTTGATTTTGCGGTTCAAACACAGCTCGCGGTCCTGCTTTACACTCTCCGGCTGTCTGGCTTTCTGAATATGGAAACCCTCAAATGGGCTGCCGAAGGTGACACGTGTCAACATCTGCAGGCGGAAGTGCTGTACGGTCTGGTGGAGGACGCATGCGGGCTGTCGGGTGAAAAGAGCGAGGTCATTCTGGACCTGTTCTGCGGAACCGGAACAATCGGGCTCAGTATGGCGCACCGGTAAGAGTTACCTCGTTGATGTTATGACCCCGAAAGCAGCAAAAGCCCAAGATACTGGCAACTTTCTGAGACTTATCTCGGATGCTATCAGTGCCGACTTTCTTCTCAGCACTGCACATCGGTTCGGTATGTTGCACTGGTGAACCTCAGTACCTCAAGCGGTACGCTGGCAAACATATTATGAAGTCTGGCACTCTAGGCTTGGTTAGTGCACATTTGTCAAGTCTTGCTGCCCGAATCAAGGTCACCCTTACGTGCTATGGGGTCTGATTTTAGATTTGAGGAGGGCAAACTTTCCGACTGGGGCTCCGAAGCTGTGGGTTCAGGCTCTCCGATGAGCAGCTCGTAAGACGCGGTTCTGCGCTTTTGCTTTTATGCGTTAAAAAATCCCTTAAAGCCCATTATCTGCCTGATCATTTCGAATCCATCTGGTTGTCCAGGGCCAAACATGTGTACGGCTACGAGCTGGTCCCCGAGGCTGTGGCGGACGCCGTCCGGAACGCCGAGCGGAACGGAATCCAGAACGCGACGTTCATCCAAGGGGACCTGAACAAGCTGAAAGAGGACTTTGGGCGGCAGTTCCAGACCCCGGACGTCGTTATCACAGGTAGGATCCGAGTACCGTCTGATGTCAGCAGCGTTCCCACTTATTCATATAGAGCACATGCTTGTCGTCGCTTTTGGACACTCACGGAAGCATCAACATCTTTTCGCGCTGCTTTGATTCGGGTTAGCGTTTCACGTTTACTCAGGGGTTAGGTTCTTACGTGCCCTATTGTTTGCAACGGCGTATTCTTGTGTGGCCGTTAGCGCATGCAGCGCTGTTCATGAACGATCTTTTTTGCTTGTCCCGCTGGAGGATTGTCGAGCGTCGCTCTCCTCACGTCTGGCGATTGAATCTACCTTTTCTGCAGACCCGAACCGGCCCGGTATGCACCCGAAGCTGCTGCGGTTCCTGTCCGAGTGCGGCGCGCGGCGCATCGTGTACGTGTCGTGCAACCCGTCCACGCAGGCGCGGGATCTCGACGTGCTGTGCCACGGAGAGGTGGGCGCATCAGAAATGTCACATCTTTTTGGAAGCCTCTTCTGATATTAAGCTCTGTGGATTATGAAATTCTTTCCTTTGCGCCACGGGCCCAGTTGCGTAAGAGTGTAAAAGAATGAAGGGCTTTCTACGTGGCGGAGAAAGGGGTTTGCATAGCGACGGGCGCCCCCACACGACTTGCCTCCGGGCGAGATGCAGTACTTGGAGCGTCACTGGGCGTTCATGCAAAATGGTGATTATCAATCTCTGGAGTGACCGCACAGCGGAATCTTCGCTGAACTGGCTCCTGGCAGTTGAGTTGTCCAGCCCTGATAATCCCGCAGGACGTCCGTTCCAAACTGTCAGCAGACCCATGGAAGATCTCGTAATTCTGTTTGGTGCTCGAGGGGTAAAAGGACCAAGCGTCACCATCGGTCGTTGCTCAACATTCTATGGACAGAATGTGTGGAAGGAGAACGTGGACCAGATTCCCTCTTTCAGGACCCCCAAAGCTCTAGTACCCTTTTCCGGCGCGCGGGCCGGTTCGGGCTCTGTCGATCCGTACCGGTTATAAACGGTAAACAGTAGGACCTACCCAGCCTGTGCTAAGGAGCAACGCACCGGGTAGTTGCCCTGTCATTTCGTTAAGTGCCAGGGCAGCTACAATGCTACGCGCAGTCCAGGATACTAAACTGTGGAGGTTCGAGGAGTCCGAATTTGGTCCACGTTCTCCTTCCACGGGTTCGGACAGTTTAGCACACCTTATTTCGGAGCGAAATTGCTACCGGCCTGCTGAACGGTGCTCCAACGACTTGCTCTGTAGGACGACTTTGGCGTGTCTTTTCTGTTCATGGAGTAGCGTCGCAATGACAACCGACTTCGAGCTGCACGACGCCTGTTGCGTAACTCAACTTAAACCTTCAAAAAGTGCTGTAAGACAGAACCCCTCAGGGATATGGAAGGATTCCTTTTTAAAAATCTATAAACCTTGAGGTTAAGCGCTGTTCCATCATTGATTTCCTTGTCCACAGAAAATACATTAAATCCAACTTCCACTAGTTTTGGCTTTCGGAGCTTACTCTTTCCGGTGCAATATTTTGACACTTAATCTCATTTTATCTCTTGTGCTTTTTTCATCCCAGTGTGCCTTTTCAACGGTCTCGTCACTCTCTCATGCAGGACAACCGGGGGGAGGGCGTGGGTCCATACGAGCTCGTGAGCGTACAACCGGTGGACATGTTTCCACACACCTCGCACATAGAGTCGGTCGCCGTACTGGACCAGCGGCTGAGCAGCAGTTGACCATCATACCTAGTTCCCCATATGGCCTTACTTTGGGTGCACACGCACTTTTTAGATACGTTGGATCGATATTGTTATCCGTACTGATACTGGCTCCGCTGTTTATCAGGGCTCCAACCTTGCCCATATGTCGACGTCCCTCACGATCATCCATGATCTGCCCCGTTAGTGCTCAGAGTTCATCTGCAATGCACCATCGCAGAGACGTAATGTTGATTCTTGGGGTGATCTGGCGCTACCGTGCCCAACAAATGCATGCATAAGATAAAGCTCCACTTGAGACATTCTGGGGGCCCACAGACTTGCCGGGTGTTGCAATCGAGTGCCAAATCGATGGTCGCTGCATAAATTGATGGTAATCGGATGATCGAGCCCCTGTACCGCGCAGAGCCTATACTAAGGGCCTTTGAAGGTTTCCCTATCAATAGTACCAGTTCAAGCTCTGGTTTATCAATCATTGGAGTTAGACGGAAGCTTAATTGTGCTAAGATCCGAATGATCAGCGCGGCTGCCGCGCATGCAGTGCCGCAACTCGCATATGCTCATATAATATGCATGATCGAGTATTATGCATGCACGGGACCGCTACGGCGCGACTTGCGGACCTCGGTCCGACCGTAATTTAGTTACGGTTTACCTCGGTCGGACCGAAAGTCCGCAGGTCGCGCGACGGTAAATCGACGGTTTTCGGAGGTAAAGATTTGGATATTCGGAGGTCGGAGTACGATCGCACCGAGGAGAAACCTTGGAATTATTTTTGTAACCTAGGAAAAAAGTCTAGAAAAAGGTAATTTGGCCCTAAATGCGAGCAAAGAAGGAAGCTATATAACATGCAAATCCGAGAGGAGGCAGGGGTGTCCACTTGGTTGGAGGTAGTCCAAGGGGTAAATATCGAGTTGCAACTTTCCAATTTTCCGCCCCTTTCCCCAAACTCCATCCCAGGAGGTATTGGAAGCCATGGCCATGGTGGCTCCGTCCTTGGTGTAAAACGCCATGGCAGCAAGGAACTCGAAGGTCCTCCTTCCTCATGACTCGAGGCCCCGTGTTTTCATGGTGTACCTACTTTTCAGTCCCGGCCGTGGGTCTTCTAACCTGCAACGGGGCCTCTCCAGCCCCAACGCCTGTTGAGGTACCTGAGCGACTAATTCAAATCGTCGATAATGCTCTCATAATTGTCACCGGACGGTGGAACAACGGGCGGTACCACCCGGTTGGGACCGTCCGGTCGCGATCGAAAATTTGTCGTAGGGCGGGGCCACGTCATATTCCGTACAGGAATTGGCCCAGTTCACCGTATCGCCGAGTCGGTAAATTGAAATTTAAATCCTCGATCCGGCCGAGGAAACACCGATCTATCGGAGGTCTACGGAGGTCGATAAATAGGTAATTTGCAGGTAGGACCGACCGGGTATCGAGGTAGAACCTCGCAAATACCTAAAACCGCGCGTCGCGCCGTAGCGGTCCCGTGTGTGGATCATATGAGCGAGTAGCCATTGAACTTGGTATAATAATGTATAGAAAGTATCCGACATATTGCGCACATATCCGGGAAGCGCTCGCGCGAGCTAGAGCTTGTCACATGGTTCGCACCAGGGTATAGGTGGGCCTGTCGCGCTAGCTCGCTAATCACGATCGTCAATTCATGTTTTTGTGAGCGGCCTCATGTAAAGTCTCTTTTTAGTAAAAACATGGGGGGCTTTTACAGAGTGAGACAGAGGCTGTCTTGTGCATGTACATATACACAATTAAGACATATTTACCTATATTTTTATGTTCCAAGGCAAATCTGTCATTCCGACTTAAGACTTAACCTCAGTAATAGCCACTGCCATGATGAGGAGGCGTCATGGTGATGTTCTCTTTTAATGGTGATGTTGTGGGACATGTAGGATATATCATTCTTTGACATATAATAGCTCAGCGCCTAAATACTTAAATTCTACATGTTCGTCACTCATGTGCAGCAGCAAATTACCTGCGGGTAATTTCAAGATTCCAGCTCTCAAGCCTGGGCTGACACATGTAACAAATTGACGTCAGAGGTTGCTCGTAAATGCCACTCACAGCATGAGAAACTCGAGCGGAACAGCCATGCCAAGGTATATTGCTATCGAGATTGTTGTATGGTTACCAAAACAAGCTCCCTTTAAATGATTGCACTTTGAGATATGGAAACAGAACACAAACACTACCTCAGATCTATCAACCCAATCAGGCTGACCATCAACCTGTCAAGTTGTGGCCTCAATGGCGCTCTCTCCATCCATCCTCCCATCAGAACCTCCCCTGCCCCTCCCCCAAGTAGAGGGCACTTATTCCAGTCAGCGAAACACCACGTATCTTCCCTCTGCTCTGCTCTGCTCGGATATTGTCTTACCTATGCGCTGCAAATCCATCACAGAATACGGCCCTGTTGCTTGTACCATTGTAGGCTGCCAGTCTGTTGCACGCTTGTTTATTTAACCGCCTGCAGTAAGCAGATATTCAGTAAGTCACAACTTCAGCGAGGAATGGCATATGCAGATTAAGCCAACGTGGTTGCACAAAGGGAAGCGTGCAAACATCAGGGAGACCTAGGGACAAGTTAACCGCGGCTTCAAATGCAAGCCCTGAAGATAAGCTAGCCACAAGCTTGAATGCAATACCTGGGTTGACAACTGCATAAGAGCATTGATCAACTGGCTAGTAACAAAGCAGAACATCAATTCATTACTACATGCAAAATCAGAACTTTCCGCCAAAGAATCCTCTTTAGGATCAAGACCCTGACAATCTGAAACAAGAGCACTCCGCCACTCACTTCCTCCAGAATAGGCCTTGCCGAAGAGCAGAATCTGCAGCTGGTCGTATCCGGACAGCACACCGGCACCCGCCACCGCACGCAGGATGTTGGCGCCCGCGCCCTTGAACAGCGACTTGGTGCCCTCCTTGGCAACAATCTCCCTGAAGGCGGCCAGAGAGCTCGCATACTTGACGGCCTCGCCTGACGTCATCATCATTCGTCTCCTGACGGTGTCAATGGGGTAGGAAGCCAGCCCGGCGGTGATAGTCACACCCCACCCCAGCAGGAAGTTGGCGCCAAAGTTGTCGCGCAGGCTGCCGGTGAGGACAATGGGCTTGAGCGAGTCGTACAGCCCGAAGTAGAGGCCGCGGTACACGACGATCCCAACGCACGAGATGTTGAACCCACGGTAGAGCCCCGCGATACCATCAGAGGCCAGGGTCTTCCTGCAAACCGATGGAGTGAATCAATTTTTGAGTAGATAGTTTTTTTTTTTTTTTTTGATGAACTTGAATAAAAGAAGTTTAGTCTTGCCCCTGGAGTGGTTGGTATCAGGGGCAAGATTAAACTCGAGCCGACAGGACAAGTGCTTGAATTCAATGTCGAACGGCAACGTCCATCAAATAGATGAAACGAGTCTGATAAAGTTGCCGCTTGCAAACTGTGCCGCCATAATACCTTGGAAATAGATGCAGCCCAACTCTTCCATCACTAGAGCAGGATGCGGCGCGTGTAATTTAGCAGCATCGCTTTGGAGTAGATACTTGACTTCTGACGAGAATGACAGATTCTCTGGCACAGTTCCAGCTTGTGCAGGCAAACAATGTTCGCCTTCAAATGGAGCAAATACAAAGGCTCTGACAAACGGATTACACACGAGCCTCAGTAGGCCTGAGCCTAGCCGGCTTGCATTCGTTGCTGGCCTGCTTGTGTCCAGTGCAACACAAGAGGGCCTGGAAATTTTTGACACTTGCTCTCATTAGAATCAACCAGATATATCTGGAGCCAGATCTAGGTGGCTACATGGCTGTAAACCTGATCAAGGGTTGGCAGTGATGCCTATGATCAATTGTAAGGAAATAATGACCATCCCCTCTGGAAAGCATTGATGACGTTAATCAACCCTTGTCCAGAACCCTAACGCCAGAGACACAGCCAAAAGCAAAACTTGAAAAATGTTCCTCATCCTATCCAAAAACACGAAGACTTCCCGCCTTCTTCATCAAGCCTTAAAGATATGGCCGATTCGACCCACCTGTAAACATCAACCAGGCCATTGAACTGGCGGTCGCCTCCTCCCTTCTTGGAAGACTTTGCATCGTTGGCAAGACGGGTACGGGCGTAATCAAGGGAGTAGACGAAGGCAAGAGAGGCAGCACCGGCAGCACCTCCAGAGGCAATGTTTCCAGCGAACACCCTGCCGTATGAGGAGCCCTTGGGAGCGCCGAGAGTCTTCTTGAAGTAGTCCTTGAACGCAAAGTTGAGGGCCTGGGTGGGGAAGTAACGGATGACGTTGGCAGTGTTTCCACGCCACAGCGAGATCGCGCCCTCAGCCTGGACAGTCCTCCTGAAGCAGTCACCGATGCCCTTGTAGGGGGACGCGAGGCGACCCTGCTTGATCATCTCATCCTGGTTCTGGATCAGCAGCTTGACGCGCTCGATGGGGGCAGCAGCAGTCTTAGACACGGCAGCGGAGACTCCCCCCATGAGGAAATCCACCGCAAAGCCCTGCACACCCTTGGCCTTCTGAGGCTTCTGATCAGCCATCTTGAATGATCTGCAATCAAAGAACGACACCGCTGTTAGAACCACTTTTGTGAATTCTATAGTCCAAAGTGTAGATCTTCATGCAAGAGATCCTGTGCACCGTGAAAAGTCAAGGGGAAGACACAAAGGATACAGACAAACTCTGCATAAAAATGAGAGCACTCACATACAAAGATGCAACCCGGTCACAGCCACTGGTCCAGATAAGATAGACTCTCAATGAACTGGACTACTTACATGCAAAATGCATCAAAATAGATGCATCAAAACACCATTACCACCAAGTGAAGGAGTTGCAGGGATTTCGCCAAGATGCAAATGTGAGATAAGGATCCAATACTTGGAGCAGAGGGACTAAGCAATCTATGCATGTGTCCATGAAGAAGCTGAATAACTCAAGTCCGCATTCAATCAAAGCCAATTGGAATACCAAGTGCTAAGAAAGGACACCAGAACCTGCCTAATCCATTACCAATATTGTGGTAAAGCTGCTGAACAGGATTTATAACTGATCTTTCCCTTGACAGAAGAAACAATCAGATCTATCCAATTGCGTGCAGATCTAGCCAACCTCGAGCTGGCACATGTACTCTTCGTATCCTGGCCAGAACCAAATATTAGTAGATCTGCATCAAGCTTGCTTCAGTCCCTTTCTCAAACTCATTTTTCAAACGACCTTCTTGCACTCTGAATACATGCAGCTCGAATACCTAATTTGCTAGCAAAGAATGTAGCCTCAATCTGACGTCTAGACAGACGAAGTTCAAAACATCTCTAACAGCTGCCTACCTAAAACGGTGGGACCATTTGATTTCTTTTCTCAACAAAACTCGAGCTTGACAAGCTGAGAAGAATCAACGCAGGTCCCGACAAAGATTACAAGAATTGAGTCAACACCCAAGCTTCCTCGCAAAAAGCACAGCTCAGCCCAATTGCTGGGGGAACAAGGAAATGCGAAGTTACCTGTTAGATCACAGAAGCCTCAAGGGAGAAGACAAGCTGCTGGCTTGCCGAAGGGAAGCGCGCTGCAACGGGCGCCCTGAATGTGGAGCCTGCTCAAGAGGATTTGTGCACAGATTGCTAGAGCAGCCTTGCCTGATCAGCACTCTTGCCTTGGTGCTGTTACAAACTCTTGAAGGTGCATCCTCTCCGGAATTCAGCTGACGTTCTCGTAACCGGGCGCGCCATTGACCAAACCCCGACCAGGAACCGTGAGCGCCAACCCTTTACTGACCAAGTAGGATACGACCGGGACATTGCCGAACCTTTTTCTGTTTGGGGAGCAGTTAAAATGTTTTCCAATGCATCGGAGAGGATTATGCCTCAAATGCCAGCTGCGGCGACAAGGTGTTTGGACTTCGACTCTGACAGTCGCCTGCTCGATAGATTTGAGAACTAGGCGTGCGTATAATAAGAAGAATGCCGGAGCAAACATTACAGTGCCTTGTTGCCCGACGGAGTTCGATGGAGTGCGCGGCAATCTGCACGGTCCAAAGTTCCTAGATTGAGACATCGTACGCTTCTTAACTTCTGAATTCAACATACTCGTACTCCTTTCTTGCAAGCTGCATGCAAAGCTGGAGCTGGCTCCAAATGGCAGGCCGCAGCTAGAGGTCATCGCTGATTCCCGAGCTTTGAAGTTGTTGAGGGCGCTCTTGAACGAACATTTTGCCATGGTGCGGCAGCGAAGACGGATCTGAGCCTCTTGCTACCCATCTGCGCCTGGGACGCTGGCAGGTGAGGGCCCCATATTCTTCACAAACGCCCTCTGTATGCTCTTCGTTCAGGGTGAATGTTTGAAGACTGTTTCAAGGATTCTCCTGAAACTCTTTCAGCAGCGGCTGGGTAGGACTACTGCTTTCACACGGTGGTTTGGAAAGGCTCAGCCCTCGCTGGCCATTGAAAAGTGATTGGTTTGAGTGCCAGTCTCATTGGAGCACGTGTACTTTGAAACAGCTGACCTCATGCTAAATTCAGCTTCATGGCACGTCTCGACACGAGCAGGAGTGGCGTGCCTTCGCCGGCAAGATGTAATCAAATGACTGTAGCCGATTTTTTTGTGGTTATCAAAACCTCCGCTAGTTACTCCAGGGATCTTAGGGTTCAGGGACGAACCTTAATACTCACCTTGTGTTGGCTTCCAGTTGACCGACACCGCGCGGCCTGACGGCATTTGAAGATGCCCGCCGTCAGGGCGAGTCTCTGGAACCGCATGGTCGCAACACTGTGGACCACCATCATGGCGTTCCTGCGGCGAGGGGCTCCCGAGGCGGCGCCCGACTCAGTGACCGACTTGGAGTCGAGCATGCAAGATGTGACGCTGGAAGAGTCATCAGCAATCGCCGCAGAAAACCCTACGATGCAGTCAAGGAACCGGTTCCTGTCGACGCTGATGCAAGCGCAGCAGACAGGGCGCGCCCCCTGGGTGGCGCGCAAGCTCCCGCGCGAGGTGTGCAAGCGGCTGAAGGTCCCAAAGGGACGGGGCCGGGGGGGCCCCAAGAAGAACATGGCCTGGCTGTGCGAGAAGCTCGAGCGGCGGACCGTCAAGTTCAAGCAGGCGTCGTGCCTCAAGGTCGTGTCGGCGGTGCGCGAACTTATATCTGAGATGGTCTGTGCGGAGTTCGTTGAGAACCGGGACGCGTTTCTGCTGCTCCGGGGGGATATGCTCCTTGTGAAGATTCTTCTGATTACGGACCGGGTCGGGGGCCAAGAGAAGGACGGGGGGAGGCGGCACTGGGGCGGCGAGCGCGCGACGATGCTCCAGCTACAAGCGTTGTGCCTCCAGACGCTGCAGGATTTGTGCTATGCAAGCCGGACGTGCCTTGAGAGCCTGTGCTGGGATGACGATCTGCTCATGTTCCTGTTCAAGAGCATGCACACCAAGGAGCTCTTCACGCCAGGTGGGTCTGCCTCTTTGCATTCGTTCCAATGTCTGACAGTACAACTTGCTTTTTGAGGGCGTTCGCGGCTGGATCTAGGCATTTCAAGACGAGTTGACACCGGGGTGCCTGCTAAAAGCAGCCTGCGTCTGGACACTATGATCCTTGACCGTTATGCAAGAGTTGTGCTCATGCTACTTCCTTGCTTTCTGCCTGCTTCCCATTGGATCTACAATTCTCATAATAGACTGGGTCTTTCAAATATGCAGTGAACTTTCTCTGTTCTGTGGGCGAGTTAGTTGAAGTGATGTTAGATGAGGTTTTGAACGAGAAGACCTGTTGCCAGGTGCACTAGATGGGACTTGTTCTGACTGATCTTCGGGCTTCGTTTTTTGCTTATGTAGTTCAATGTGTCCGGTCAAGGGCTCTGATCTTGGGAATGACCTTCCCAGTCTATGTTGTATACTGAAAGCAATCAAAACTTTCTCATGCTGCTTTTTACTTACCAGCCATTTAATCCTTTCATTCACACACAGCCCAGCCAATTCATCACACATCCAACCCCCATTCTGATTTATCTTTCTCCATGAAATCACGGGAACGGCTGCGCTGCTTGAGTTCTCAATCACGGTTGCTAGTACTGTCTTTATGCCACGCTTTTCACGTTTTGCATGTATACCTGTCTGCTTCAGAAGCAGCTTAAGTGCCCCCACATCTTACCTACTTAAAGGCCCAGCGATTGTATCCTATTGAGTCTAACGTCTCCCCTCTCGTCTTTCCAGCACGTGGCCTGGCGGAAGAGATGGCAGGTCACAACGACGAGCAGCTGGACTGCTTGTGTCCATACGTGTCCAACTTGGAACACAATACAACCCTTTCATTCTATGATGCTAAGAGGAACAAGGACAGACTTCGCATTAGCAAAACAATAATCCCGTCTATTGCGTCTCCAGCGCTCGGCTTAGCGGAGGAGATGGTTGGCTACCGCGACAAGCAGCTGGACCTGCGCAACGTGCCCCACTTTGCGGAACTGGTTGCCAGCTTCAGTGACGAGCAGCTCACGGTCTTCTGCCGCCTCCTCACGCTCACCGTTTCAGGGCCCGAGGTGCGGCACTGATTGAGTTTGCTCTTCTTCAGTCTTATATTTTCTGATCCGAGTATCTTCCATTGTTAGGATCTGGGTTCGTGTACTATGACCAGCACTTGGCTGGTAGTCTTCGAAGCTCCAAGAATGGTTGGTTAAATTGCAATCCTGCTTGTGATTTTGGGGTCGAAGGTGTGTCGAACTATTTAGTGCCGGCTGAAAAGGTGACGGCCTTTGTCCTTTCTTTGCTTCGTGTCATCATTCCCTTCAGAGAATAACCCTTTTTTTTGCAGGACTACCGGGATCCGATTGAGAAGGTGACCGACTCGAGCCTGGTCGACTGGACCCGTCCGCCGTCCCGCTGGTCGGTGGCTAAGCCTCTCACGGGCGACCTCGAGCAAGTCTTTCTGAACGCGGAAGATACGGCCTCGCTTTCGGAGCGCAACCACGCCCTGCTGATAGAACTTCCTGGCCTGCTTGCGCGCCTCGTGAAGCTGCTGGGTTCGAAAAAGGTCAACTCGGTGAGTCCTGAGTCTCATCTTACCCTAAGGTACTGTTCTCTTACATTGTTCAGAAGCCCATGATCTGTTTGATTCTGGCAATTGATTCCGGCTTATTTTCCGGTCGACAATCTGGAGTCTTGCACACATCCGAGACTGTCCGAACCCCTCTCTTGATCTGGGCTCCTGTCTCTCGTAAGAACTTGACTTGCAGTTGTTTCCTCTGTCGAGTCTGTTAAATTCAATGACTGTACTCTACCCCAAGCTCAATCGCACCCTCTTGAATGCGGAATTCTAGGAAACCTGAAAGCCCTATATGACCAGCGCCTGGGTTTTGACAGCTACGATCCTATTCCTCTTCCTTGCAGGACGTGACCTTCAGCGAGTTCCTGACAGAGACCCTCCAGCCCCTCCTGCGCACGCACCCCACAATCGAGCACGGCGCCCCCCCTGAGGTGCAAACGCTTATCCGCTTGATGCGGGGGGGTCTGACGGGGGCCCGCATCGCGCATGGCGCAGGCGGTGCGAATACCCTCGAGATCGTGGTAGACCCTGCAGCAGCGGCGGGCGAGGAGCCGGAGGGGGACGCGCCGGAGGACGTGCAGCGGGAGATGCAGCGCACTATGGAGCAACAGGCGTGGCAGGTGGGTCTGGGTTCCTTGTTCTGCTTGAATTTCTGGGCTTTTAGGCCTTGTGAGTTCTCACGATTGCGTTGAAGTTTGCGTTAAACGAAAATTGCGTAGAGATGGAAAGCAGAGGGAGACGCGTCGGAGGACGTGCAATGGGAGACGCAGCGCACCATGGAGCAGCAAGCATGGCAGGTGGGTTCGAGGTTTGCTGTTTTGGTTCGGGGGTTTTGTATCTTCTAGAAGATATGGGCATCTGCAATTTTGAAACAGTCTGAAGCTCTCAAGGTTGGGGTTTGAAATAGAAACAGAGGGGTCGCGCCAAAGGACGTGCAGCGGGAGATGCAGCGCACGATGGAGCAGCAGGCGTGGCAGGTGGTTGTTTACTTTTGGCTTTAATTTTGGTTCAGGTTCGGGTTCAGGATCTAGTGTTTTCGCACTGCGTCTACTTTCGTGACTTTGGTTCGGGGCTTGAGGCCGTGTGAACGTGAGGGTAGTGCTTTTCTGGGGTGCTGGAAACTCTAAAGGGCGCCAGCAAGAGAGGGGGAGGCACACTAGAACGTTTAGCAGCCCTCGAAGGAGCAGCAGACTTGGCAGGTGGCTTTTGGGGTTGTCACGATCTTTTGAGGTGTTTGACCAAGTTATTGGGTCGTCTCATGTTCTGGGAAGTTCCAACCTTGGGGCTCCCTTAAGCCTACTAACTCGGAAATGCCGTTGATCAGTATCTTTTTGTTGTGGATCTCAAGGAGCTGTCCTTTTGCATTATCTCTACATCTTCCGAATGGTCTAATTCCTCGCGTCTTTCCTCTGCGCATGAACAGGGCTTCCGTCGACTCTCCAGTTCCTTCCTCATAGTCTCCTCCAGTCTGTCGTCTGCGTCGTTTGGAACTTTGCTTGACATAGCAGCAGCGGCTAATTGTCTCACCCCACTTACCCGTTGTGTGCAGAACAAGAAGGAAATTTGGGCCCAGCGTCCATGCTTTAGTTCCTTCATGAGCCGAGAAAAACGAAAACTCAGAGAAAATTGAATCCTAACTGACTCACCTCCCTTCTCTCGTTGTGCGCAGTACAAGGTGGAGATCCTGTTCATGTTCTGCTCGATGTGCGAGGGCCGCGAGGCGGTGCGCATGCAGGACGAGCTGGCGCGGCTGGGCCTCGTCCCGGTGCTCAAGGACCTTTTCAACGGCTTGGACTGGAGCTTGGCCGCCCCGACAGGGCCCCAGGAGTCGCACGGCCTGCACGGGCCGGGCTGCGAGTGCAACCCCGAGATGGTGAGTGACGTGTTGCTCGTTGGTCGGATCCGTGCTTTTCCTACTATGACCAGTTTCGTTGACCAAGGGAAGTTATAGCTTCTACTGTGCCTCTCCAAAGGTGAAGGTAAACATTCGGATCGTTATCAGACTCGGACAGTAGCCGCAGGATTTTTGTCCCGCAAAGTTCACCCCAGCCTTTGTTGAGGATTGCCACAGTAGCCGAATGCGCCTACCTTCTCATCTATCAGTGGTATGAAAAAGTTCCCCCGACTAATTGTAGCGGCATTCCCGTCAAGGCCTTTTCTTGGTAAGCTTTCTGGTCTCGTGAGTCACCCACCAGGCCCGAACAACCAAGGAAATGAGATGTACGAAGTGAATTGAGATAGTTTGACGTTGTACAAAAACAAATTCAGGTGATAAACAGTTTGCCGAACCGATTAAGACCAAAGTTTCTTGATGCTGTGCAGACGATGAAAGTGCAGCTGCTGAAGATGGTGCACAGCCTGTGCGATCGCAACGGCGACAACCGCGCCAACAAGGCCCTCTTCGTCCTCCCACAAACGCTCCCAGAAGAGCCGTCCGCCTCTCCAAACGGCTCACCACCCGCGTCCAAACCGCGCTCCAAGAGCTCGGTCGTCGGTGCGCATCACGAGGGTTTCGACGAGAACGTGACGGAGGAAAATGAAGATGCGTCGCGTGCTGACTTTTCTGATCGGACGGCATTGAGCGAGTCAACGGATGCTGACGTGGCGGGTGATGACGTGGCGGACGGTAACTGGGCAGACAACGAACCTGGGGGGAGGAGTCGACCCTGGGGGAATAGCGCAACGACCCCGGAAACACAGAGCAGTGGCGAGGCCTGGTTTCCGGTCGGGGGGGTGGCTGCCAAGCCAAAAACGGAGGGGGGGAGCGGTTTGTCAATGAGAGAGCGGGTAAGAGAGGCTTTCGGCAGACGGACAGAAGGAGAAGCAAGCACATCGGCGCGCGGGGAGGACGAGGGGCTCATGGCGAGTATTGTGCGGACGCTGATGAAGCAGACGGCCGCGTCTAGTTTCAGGTGAGAGGTTCTATCGTGCCGCGTCGTTGTGAAGTTGTCTTTCTGCGGTTGTATCTTGGTACGTCCAAAATATGCTGAGAGCCCACTCTTCCTATGTATACATTTCCTTTTCTGCGTGCAAGAGAAAGGGTGCGGAGATAGCCTTCAACAGTAGGCCCCACGGAGAATCTGCTCGGTTATTTGATGGTTGCGTGACACCGTGCTATGCCTCGTTGTCGAGAGGAAAATGGGGCCAGCAATGTCCACTGCTTTCGCTGCTCTCTTTGCGGCCCGCATGTGGGCCTTTGCACTTCTCAACTGCTGCCACCGGCGGTGCACACTCACAGAAGCCGCCTCGCGCAGAAGCATGTGCATCAAAGGAGACTTTGTTGGGACAACATCTTGACCCATTTTGCCCTGCTATTATCGCAGGTTTTGGCTGGCCTCCTGCATCGAGGTGTTCATGCGCGGCTCCGATCCCCGTCACCAAGAGTACATTGCACAATTCGGACTCATGGAACACATTGTGGAGCAGATTTTGAAGCCGGGCTTCCAGCTGTCGTCCGAATACCAGGTGAGCAGTCCACGTGTCTCAAAATTGTCGTTTGACAGTTCAACTTTCCTTGAGCTGTTTTCTCCCCACCATTTTCGCCTTCCTGGCCCTGCAACTCAGTGCTGACCAAGAATCTTCACTTCAGCAATAGTAAGCCTTAGCAATAGTAAGGTAATCAGCCTGAGACGGGTAGGGTTAGTTTGGGGTTTAGGGTGGGTCGGGTGCGGAGCGGGTGATTCTGTGGGTTAGGTTTCAGTATTAGTGCAGGAGCTTTTTGCTAGAGTATACTATCGCTAAACCAAGTCAGCGAGCTAGCGTTCTGTGGTCGTGTTTTGCTTGCTGATATTTCGCTCTAGTAACGGATGGCTCATTGGACATCCTAGCACCCTTCTTCTGCCGTCACCTCAGTGCGGATGCTGACCACAATCATCGCTGTCCTAAAACCGGTCTGTTCTATCTCCGTTCTATCTATCTCCGGTTTGCTAAACAAGGTGGCCAACTGTGCCTGCCGCAGCTTCATGAGAATTTTCTGCAAATCCCTTTATCCCTTTTCCCGTCTGCCCCTTCACACCCACTTCGACATTTCAAACGATCTGGTAAGCTTTAACACCGCCCATGGTCGCCCCCCTGAACCATTAGCTGGTCCTTCCGTTCATCTTTCTGTAACCCAAATTCTAACCACATCTTTCCCGGCCCCCCAGATCAACTTCGACCTGCTAAGCGAGCTGGTCAAGTTTAACCCGACCATGTTCGCCCGCCTCAACCGGCTGCTGGATGGGCCCAAGTTCGACCGGTTCATGGCCGTGGTTACGGAACACCTGGTGGACACAAACGTCTTCATCCGTTCCCTCGTTCTCTCCCTCCAATACTTCCGCCACGGAACGCCAGCCCCACCGTACCTGGGCGCAATCCATCCCGAACAGGTGCGTTAGGTTTCGTGCAGTCTTCCTGTCCGAGAATAAGCAGTCATTCAACGGTCGTTCATGTCTTCCGTCAAGAGGACCAGGCCCGCCGTTCCACGGAAACGATGTGGTTACTTGCAGCTTAGAGATGATGATTATTTTTGAAACTAGATTGAGTCGACGATCTTATCGATTGTTGCTGCCAGTTGACACGGAGAAGTGCTGAGATGGGGGAGTTAGAACCTTGCATTGTATGCACACACTGTTGCAGGGATTGTTCTCTCGCTTCTAAGGCGGAGGGGGCACTTGGGATCATTACTGCCTTCTTTATGCCTTCGTTTTCTTTCCATCAGTTCGTTCTGTACTGCATCTGCTGCCTCGTCATACTCGGGCGCTGTCTGCAGCAACCGCGTTATTCCGGTGTGTCGAAGCTCAGGCTTTTTATCGTCGAACCGCGCACTTTATCTCGACTGCGCCCCCCCTTCTCGTCTCCAGGACGCACCCGGCCCCTCTCCATCGACTCCCTCCCCCTCCCATTCCGGTTCCGACCTCGTTCCGGCGGATTCCGGCGCCCCGAGCCCGCTCGGCGGTTCATACTCGGCGTCGTTCCACCTGCGCGCCGCCGCGGCCGACCCTGGCGCGTGCAAGCTCGGAATGTTCGTGGCGTGCAATCGAACGCGGCTGCTGTACGACCTCATGCAGGCGGTCGACAAGGATGACGTCACGCAGGTGCGCGACGTCATCGGTGGTGCATGCTCGGGCGCTCTGCTCTGGGTCTGTTCTCGTGATCGGAGAGTATGTGGAGCTTGCGGATGTAGTCCAGGGAATCGAGAGCTGTCGTATCATCCAATACGTCTAACCGTAAGAGGGCTTGATAAATATATCTAGTCTGCAACCTCTTGCTACTTCTTCGCTTGTTGCCCGTTAGGATGTCAGTAGAGGAAACTTTCGTCCTGGTTTTTGCTGGTATCACCTTGTCGATCACTCCAGGTTGTCATTCAATCCAGATGTTGAAGGATCGTTCGAAGGGAATCGATACTCTAAACGTTTGCCACTAGGCTGTCTCGGCTCCACTCAAATCTGTGACATAAGTAAACCATATGAGGCCAGGGGCGAAGTTCAACCGCTGCTTTTCAAGCAATAACAATCTAGGAACAGTAAACCTCGGACGGGTAGGGTTACTTTGGGGTTTCGGGTGGGTACGGGTGCAGGGCAGGTAGTCTTCATAGGTTGGATTTTTAGGGTTTGGTTCGAGCTTACTTTTCCCAAAGTGTCACGACATTTAGTTATCGTCCCTCGTCCCGCAGGACAACATGTGCGTGGTGAACACGTCACTGCTCTTCTTCCTCTTTGCCCGCCGCGAGGGACAGCTGGCACAGCTGCTGCAGCGGCTGCGCACGCGCCAGCAGGGGGGCGCGCGCGCGCTGCGCAACTTCCGCTCGCTGCTCGAGTACTGGAAGCACTACTACCTGCGGCAGCGGGGCCGCGACTCGCGGTCGATTGAGTATTCTACCAACGTCCCGTTCCGGGAGTGGTGAGTTCCTTTTTTCCCTGTTTATGCTTCTCTGTTGTTCCAATTGCTTTCGACTGGTTTTGAAGGTCGAGATTGAGCTTAATTCGAGATGTGGAAGTACCATTCTCCGCAGTAGCGGGGGCGCGACTCCCGCTCCATCGAGTACTCGACCAACGTGCCGTTTCGGGAGTGGTGAGCGTTCCTTTTCTTTCTTCTTTTGGTGTCTGCTTCTTTTATTATGCGCTCTCTGGACTCTTTTCAAGGTTAATTCTGCGCTTATCTGAGATTGATTATCACTACTGCCTGCGGCGGCGGGGTGCGACTCGCGTTCCATCGAGCATGACAACAGTGTGCTGTTCCGGGAGCGGTAAGCATCCGTTGCTTTTTCTTTCTGTTTGAACTTTCCAATCCCGTCTGCTTTCTGGACTCTTTGGACGGAGGTCTTTGCGTTCCGCAAATCCATTGCCGTGTTTGATTGTTTCTTCAATCCAGATTGTTCCCTTCTCAAAGCTTGCTCCTTGGCGCTGTTGTGAAAAGTCAAACTCGATTGTGTGCGCGTCTAGAAATATGACGATCCGATTGCGTCGTTCTCTCCTTAGATGCCTTTGGTGGATCATCTGACTAGAGTTGTTTACGGCTTGTCCTTTGGGCGGCTTGCCCTATTCCGGAAAATCTGCTCGTCCAATGCGTGCCGAGCTGTCTGTCGTGTGCTGCCCCGAGGTATTCTCAGTTCTTCTGTTCATGTTCTTGTTTTAAAAAGGATGTTGGACGCATGCGAGAGTGTCCGAGGTAGAGATTCCGGTGTTCTTTACGGTGTCGACACCCTCTGTTATGAGCAGTACGCCATGCGGTAGTGTCAACGCAAACCGGAGTTTGTACGAACATTGTGGCTTTGAGAATTGTAGTACTGCCTCAAGGGGATACTATTTTGACCAAGTGACATGTACAGTCTTGCTTCAAATTGATCTTGGTACGTCGTTTGATGTTGATCAACCCAGTGGTCGCAGAGAGGGCGCGCACTTTTCTCGTACCCATTTGACGGACCGATCTGAACTCAGTCATTGTTACTTCGCTTGGTTGCAGGTTGCGGATGGTGGAAAGCCTTAGCGGATCGGAAGATGAGCCCCTCTCTCTTGTTTTTGGCGTAGATGGAGGAGAAGCATCGCAACTACAAGAATGATTCTTGTACAAGCAGTCCTTGGTCTGTACGTTCTTGGTCGATAAATTGAATTGTTGGACTCTTGGAGCAGCACATTATGCAATGGGTGTTACTTCGAGAAGTTAGTTTGACTCAATTGGTCAGGTCTTTACATGATGCTGCGTAATACCACCCTGTTGGGTTGCCTCCCGAGACTTGTGCTAGTCAATCATGCGTACACACATAAAAGATTTAGCTCTTTAATCGACATGGAGTACATGGTGATCATACATCGGATGTATGTATTGCACTTACCCCCGCTCGACCGGTCCTCTTATCTTCCTTTACCGGCGTACTCCCACCTTCTTAACAACTGATAGGTTTCAATCTCTCCTGCTTGTTGTGGCAAAATAGCCCAATCAAGAACAGGAACTTTCCGGTCTAGCGCGGTTGCAATTGAGACAGAAGAGGTGCTCTTTCCAAGCCTAGACATGGTAGCTTGAGCCTGGTGGTCCCGAGTCGTGGAAGATGCAGGCGGGCCATCAAGCCGCCCTCAAGTGCCGGTGGCACATGCAACCCTTTATGCTGACACATATATTATTAGTATACTCCAATAGTATATATATTGTGATCGAGATCTACATAGCAGATCAATCGACACACACGGTACCGCAGTAATCATGTGCATTCGAATTCATATCGATCATTGATTCCCGGATGCAACAGGTATGCCAGGTGACGGTTTCGCACCACTTATATAAGTTATCTGCTATTAAATGACGATTGTTGCTGACCAAACCTTGTTGAAGGCATGCACATATTAGAGTATTTTCAACGTGCTGGAACATGAACCTCATGAGCGCCGGAACCGAAATAGAAACAGTGTCGACTCTTATCCAGCACCAAAGAAACCATCAAATACCTGAATACCATTGGGATTTTTAGTATGTGGAGGTGGGTTCTGCTCAGGTGTGATTCGTGAAGCAGGGGTGCATGGACACTGACGGGTCTAGCGTCTCGAGTCGAGTAACAAAAAGGAGGTCGTGACAATTTTCGCAACGAGCAGGATTCGAACCTGCGCGGGGAAACCCCATTTGATTTCGAGTCAAACGCCTTAACCGCTCGGCCATCGTTGCACGACGGCATCAACGAGCGGCTAGCTTATAATATATAATCAGTTGATGTTAAAAAGAAACTTGCCTGTAAAAGGCGCTTCGCCATCTCATAAGAGGACGTATTACCCGGCGCAATCCAACGCCCTCTTTACATGCCGTTGGAAGCAATGGGGCTCGGGGGGCGGCGCCCCCAAACCTCCCGGCTGCTTCCTCTTACGGTCAATGTGAAAGTGGAAAAATATTACTGTACGTATTTCAGCGGAAGAACTTTTTGCTCTGAACTGCAATTTTGTGAGCGACTGAGAGACCGCGTCTGGTGCTGTCTTGGTCGCCGGACTGCTGAGTGTTGGCAGCGACGGCGAAGCAGGGAACGCGGCCTCATGAACGCCGCCAGGTAGCCAGCTTTGAAGGAGAGAGAACTTCGAAGTTGAATCACTCAACAGGACTCCCAACTGCTTTTGCAGACTTCAACTTCAAGTTCGAATGCAATTGGAGATTCCTGAAGAGAGAGCTCCCTGGAGCGAGCGCCCATGAACAAGGTCCTGTCGACAAGTCGGGGACAGGCTCTCCTGGGTCCACAGGAGATCAATTCTGCAGAGGCACGAAGCTCATACAGAGGGCCGGGCACGAGCAAGAAAGGGGTGCTTCCGTCCAAGTCGCTGCTTCTTGTTCCGAATATCGAGGGAAGCAGTTATCCAAGTTTGGAGGATCTTCTAGGAGAGGTCGTCGGGCCAAGGGTTGACTTGCAAAAAGGAGCTCAAGCATTACCTCCTAAAGCAGCAGAGGGAATTGTCACCCCTGAGTGTGGGGGAGTTGGGGGCAGAGCAGAGCCATCTGACATCATACAAGAGCTCAACCCGGCACTTGCTCAAGAGTCTGCTGATAATTGTAAGAGGTCTGCAGAGGAAAGGTCGACTGCACTTGCAGCATCGAGACCAAGTCCTACCGAGCAGTTTCTGCAGTTTGTTGAGAGCAGTCTAGACCTCGTGGAGGCCGTTGCAGCCAGGATGAAGACCGACCTCAGGATCTCGGCGGTGTCGACCTGGGATTTTGCAGTCCAATGTCTGCACGTGTTTGTGTTCATAGTCCTCCGGTACATGCTCAGAGCAATGAAGATTCTGTACATAGGGCACTTGCTTTGCCTGGTAGGTTTGGGTTCAACGTATGCGGCTGTGGTTGCGGAAATTGAGGGGAAGATCGGGACAGTCAGCAGCGGGTTTGGTGATGCCGAGAAGGAGGAAAGTGAGGGGGTAAACAGGAAGGCTGACGGGCAGGCAAAGAAGGGGCTGTTGCCTCCGCAGGCACCTGAGCATAAAGACAAGATGACGGTGAGTCAGCTGCATCAGATGCAATTGGCAATCACTTGGGTTTGACATGGAGTTATGGTTGTTTCATGATGGTTTAGGCTGGAAATTGTAAAAAAAGAGAAGCATAAATTTTGATTGGGAGAAGGGGAGTGCTGCAAAGTGCGCCATGATTTTCTGGCTTCGTGCATGAGGAGGTGATCTCTGAAAGGATTTAGCTGGGAAGATTGATCTTGATCGCTGTGAAATCTGCTTCCAAAACATATTTTGTTGTGCATCAAGCTGGCCTATCTCATCAGGATTTGTTTTGTTCCTGCTCCCTTTGGATTGGCATATGGAAGTCAAGTTGATCGCGTCGTCTGGTTGGAAGACGAAAGTCCGCTGAGGGTAGTCTGTTGTTCAGCATGGGAGTTGAACGGAGAACCTTCCTAGGGGGGTGGTGGTTTAAAGCAGATGCAATATTTCGGGGTTGGGTTTCTGTCGGGGGCCCTTCCGCTTGGACTTGTTCCAATTTCCCCTGTGTGCCATATAACTTGCACAGTGAGGAGATTGGCTGGCTAACCCTAATCTAAGTTCTCAGCATTTCCCCAAAATGGTTTCTTGTCTTCCATTGTTCTTGTGCCTATCTTACTGTATATTGTAATCTGCGCCTTCCTCATTGTTTGCTTGTTGTAGTTATTGCTGATTATATCCTCTGCAATTGTGATTGTGGTTCCTGCCTGAAGCATACTCTTCGCTTTAGCATTCTGCACTAGTTTGTTTTTGCATCGCATGCGAAGTAACTTTACTTGATGATAATCTTATGCTTGCTCTATCTGAATGGTCTCAGCTGGGGCGCAAGGATCAGCTTTACTTCAGAAATATTGTGATCTGTTCCTTTCTTTGCATCGGATGTGCTGAGGCCGCGCTCCCTTGTAGACCAATTTCGGTACCAAGGGCCGTGAAAATGACAGCGGTCGCTGTTACTAAAAGAAAGATTGGAGCATAGCGCATGAGAACAGTATCTTCAGGTCCAAGCCCTGGATGGGCTTCGCATCCTTGGCAGCAGCTTCGATTTCCCAGTTTGCAGGTAGCTCCATCAGTTTCGAGACAACCATCTTAAAGGCTTTCTTGAGGCCCCCCTCTACCTATCCCGCCCAGCCATTTTCCATTTCGCTTGCAATCGCAAAACGGCGCGACGTTTGCAGCATGAGCCCGAGAAAGCGTTTCAAGAGCATGCTTTGGTTTTCAGTCTGCACAAGCTTTTGAAAGAGCTTCCTGCAAGAAAGCAGGGATTATGATGTACTTACTCTTTGCCCTCATCTTGTCCTACAGGTTGTCCTGGATCTGGACGAGACGCTGGTCTGTGCGTACAACTCTGCGGGGCTCCCCTCAAGCATACACCAGCACGCGGCCCAGAACGGAGTCCGCTGGTTTCAGCTCCAATGTACAGCGAACGAGATGGTGAGGGTTGCTCATTCAGCAGCAATCTGCTCCTAATGTTCAACTCCTCAATCATTGCCCAAATTCCTTTTGCCTGAGGGTACACTGGAGCCGTGTTCCTCAGTCATTGTTCTTGATTTGCACTGTCAACAAGCTTCGCATTAGTCAACTAGGGATGGACTTAGGAAAGCCCAGAAAGCAACCATTCTGAATCACTTCTGGAGCTTGAGTGCATTGCAGACCGAAAGCAGATTTATCTTGCAACCTGACATAATCAAACACGTTCTTCTTCAGACAGATTGAGCAAAAAAATCGAAAGGTATCTGTGTTTGGCTAATTCGTCCTTCTCTGCAGGACGAGAACGGCAAGCCCAAGGTGAATCTGGTGACGGTATACGAGCGCCCCGGGCTGGCAGAGTTCCTGCGACGGGCGAGCGTGATTGGGGAACTGGTGCTTTTCACGGCGGGGCTGGAGGGCTACGCGAGGCCTCTGGTGGACAAGATCGACCCTGAGGGGATGATCTCTGCGCGCCTCTACCGGCCCGCCACTGTCAGCACGTGAGTTGGGGTGTTTTTAGGTTGTGTTGGATCAGGAGTAAGGGCATTGAAGGTAATGGATGACTGCTCCGGTCAGGTTTGAAATCGTCAGGGCTGATGCTCAAGATGGAGTTCCCGTGCGCCAATACCAATTGGTTACTGACAGAGGCGCTTATTTAGTGTTCACCCCCGGCCCGGGGTTTTTTTTGGGTTAGGAATTAGGATCGAAGGGCTAAATGATTGCAACTGGGTCTGTGTTTGAAAGTTCGATGTCTTAAGAAAGAAAATAGCGTACAGCTTCATGAGCCTGCCGCAATTAACAAGTGGGTTGGCTTTGGGCGTTTTCGTGTCTTGCAGGCACAATGTTGAGTGACTTGTGTTTGGGAAGACCTCTCTTCTCTTAAGCTGTTCAGACCCTCAAAGAAGCACCTTTGCAGCTGAACCTCCTGTTAGCCGCATTCAGGATGTCATTTCAGGCACGCTTTGAAAGACGGGCAACGTGGTTTTTCAAACGGGTGGCTGCAACTGGATTGTAAACTGTCACTTTGTCAACCTTTCGCCTCGATGCTAAATGTAACCACCAATTATGGATGACCATCTACAGTCGTTGATTACCTCGCCTTTCAGCCAATCTGACGGCTCTGATGGCAACCTTGCGTCTGCAGTAAGTATCGAGAGCACGTAAAAGATCTTTCGGCCCTGGGGCGGGACCTGCGGAAGACGGTGCTTGTCGACAACAACCCCTTCTCCTTCATCCTGCAACCTGTCAACGGCATTCCTTGCGTTCCCTTCACTGGGGAGCAGCCAGAGGATAGACAGGTGCGCCTACTGCGTCTTCTGCTCGCTCTGTCCCGCCTCCTTTTCTGCCTGGTTAACATTATACTTCGCAAAGTCTGCGGACCATCAGTGATTCTGGAGGAAGGGTTTATCATAGACAATTGTCAGTACGATCTCCGGAGACATCTCCGGGCCAGGAAAAGGCAGGACTCATCGAGAGATCGTGCGCACCTAGCTCGTTTCTGCATGCCGCCATGACCTTCTCGCATCCTGTTGCGCAAGTGGTTCTCGAAACCGTCTGCGTGAGGAGCACAATGCAAACGATTGTTGCAAGACGTGAAAGAATGGGCTGCCCCGTGTTATTCATTTGAGCTTCACAATACAGGCTTCAATGCTGGTTCTGTCTTTCCGACTCAAGACGATCCTTAGGCTACCATTTTTTGCAGCTTTTGGAAGTGTCTCTCTTTTCCGCTTAGTCTAATGCCTTGTCTACGTCTTTTGCAGCTTTTGGAAGTGTTGTTGCCGCTCCTGGAGTCGCTGTCCAAGCAGCCCGACATTCGGCCTGTGCTGTTGGACCGCTACCGAATGCCCGCCTGGTTCAAAATGCGCGGATTCTCGCCACCAGAGAACAACTTCGGAGAGCCGGAAATAGTGGGGAGACAAGCTGGATAGCTTCAGAGGTTATGTGGTCGCTTGGCTCCTTGACGGGTTGGCTCGCCGTCTCGGAATGAGAAACGGATCGCGGAGGAAACGCGTAAGAAAAGCTGCTAGAGCCCAGTGTTGTCAGACGCGGGGACAAGGGGGTTCGTACAGGACTCTTTGTTTGCTCGTCTGAGGTCCATAAAGGTCTGTCCATAATTGCAATAGCTGTGTCCATGTTAGATTTGATAACCCCATAGATAGCAAGTTCTTGGTCAAAGTTTCGGTCTACGTGCAACTTTTGCTGCGAGCCCAACTTAACGCATTGTGTAAAGTTACATAGGTATGGTTGTACAGAGTCAGTCATATACTTTAGTCAATCAAAGATCTACAACTTCCAACTGCATCTTCGATTGTATGAGTGGCACAGACCCTCTTTTTAGAACTTTTTGGTATCATCGAGGCCTACTGGTTGATCAGGGCCCACCCACTCCTATGGAGCCGCTGAGCAGCTCTCTTAAGTGCTTCCAGGAATCGACTGCATCAAAGTTCACCTTTCAACTTTGAAGGGCCCATAGATTTCAATTCCAGCGTGCACCACTCAGTACGAGGCTAGCAATGCACAACCATGCAATTGTATCTCATCAAGTTTTTAAACCTCAATGGCAGTCGGACTTGCTTTGAGCGGCAGCTTCGGCCTTCCAGAAGAATCAAGCAGTATGCGACATCATATGTATGCCCGGTCAGACTCAGCTCATCCTTGGGACTTACCGTCCCAACTATTACTACAGTGGGACGCTTCAATTCATCTTAGAAAAACAGTGCATTGCGACAAATATGACAGACAGGATTCGACTCATCGATCTTGGTGCATCGCGCTGGACGTACCGTACTGAAGTTCATATTGCATCATTGGTGTGCACGCACAGCTTATAATCTCCACTTTGATCCGATAATGTATACCATTGATGCAGTGCAATGCTTATCGAAACTCACCGGATACATGCTTCGGAGTCAACTGCAGATCGCATCATGCATATGCGCGGCACGCACACGCACACTCTGGCCTCACGTCTATTGTGGCTAAGAGTTCAGTGCCTCCTTCAATTATGACTAGACTCGGATGTTCGCGTTCTCGTGAAGCTAAGACGGTTAACTTAAGTTGGGGCCGGAGGCGTCTGCATTAGAGAAGGAAAGACATGGCGCATAATCATGAGATTCGATCGGGCCTGCATGACAGTGCAGCGGGCGAACAACATTCTGCATCGCTTACGACGCTGAAGAGGTAGATGAACCTGAAAGAGCTCGCAGCACCTGTACGTCTTTAAGTTATTGCTAAGTACGCATCTGACAATACAAACTATTGCTTCCAGAGTCTTTCCCATCTGATATGGTAACAACCCGCTCGGACTCCTGTGAAACAAGTAATAGGCCATTTGCTAATGGTCAAGTTCGTCCGCACATGCTTTGAGGGGAGCTGAAAGCAATTATAGACCTAAAGCATGGCATGCTCAGCTAAGAGTACATCTCACTTAGGCCTGTTTAGTGCGACCCAAACTGACTTCTATTTAACTATCTATGATCTGCAAGATTACTACTATGGTATTAAGTCTCAACGTATTCTGCTTGTGAGTGATGACTTACGTGCCGGACGGTTCGCCAGCATAGCAGATGACACTACGGTAGGCTACAAAATTTTATTTTGATGAACGCAAGTGCCCCGTATTTTCAACGGGGGAAAGCTAGCAGCGAGCTTTGACATCGAGTAGCTCGCAACACCACACGCCATAGCCTATTGAACACCGAACGCAACCGGCAAGCCGCCGGGATCGGACAGCTTTTCTTAAACATCTTCTGGAAAGAAGCCCTCAGTCCCGTAAGCACAACACCAATTAAAGGTTTGCTTCGGTGATTCTCTATCCTCGATACGCCTCTCGCTCCCTCGAGGTGCTGCCACGGGGCGACTTCTCTTCGAGCGAAGTGCTGACACGTGGCAGCTTCGCTTGAAACGATGCGCCCGGGGGACGTCGTGGACTCGAACCGGGCACGAGCTTCACGAGAATTTGGGGCTGATTCCGTTGCTGAACTGCCCGGTACAGATCCATCGCCAGGCTGACGAGCATCCCGAGGAGCAGAGAAATGCTGGCCAGGACCCCTGGACGAGACGGAGAGTCTGGTGCTGATCAGAAGCTTGGAGAGATACGCGATGAGAAGATGAAGAAGCGGACGCTTTGTTTCGCGTGTGGAAGGGAGATACGAGAGCATGCCTAGCCTGACGAACGTCGCGAAATACGGAACGCGTTTCGAAAGACGATACCCTATCGCGACTTGCAGGGTTTTGGAAGCAGCAACCAAAGATCGACTGTGATGCAAGGAAAATCATCGAGCTCGCAGAGAAAGGTACTACTTGGCAACCGCGCTTTGAACTCATTCAAGCGTCACGCTTATCTGATACGGGAGGGAGGCTGTGCAAGCATCAATTTTTACCAACGTCTTGTAAAATTGCCTTGGTGCAAAGCACGGAACTTGCTGCCTTCTTGCTTTCGACCTGTCCCATACCGCAAAAGCAGAGAACGAGGATGCATGGTCAAGGGAACCAAACCCTCAAGTCTAGCGTTAACCGAGACAGACTTTACAGCCTCGCATCTTTGGCCCAAGCGCAGTCAGGTGCATTGTCGCTGCAGCTGAACTGGCAGCAGGTGCGCAGGTCTTCTATCCCGTACGCAGCTGGATCTCTCATGGGCACCGCAGATGCATTATTATTCCCCATGAATGTCAGAAGGCCGGTGATGCATCGAGATTGTTGGGTGGTTTCTGGATTGCTCCGACTTCCGACGAAGAACCAGATCATCAAGCGCTCAGAACGAACTTCTAACACACGCGTGCGGACACAGGAAGCAAGAACAAAAATGGAAGGCCAAACTCTGTCGCGAAATGACTGAAGTTGGCAAGTGATTTCCAAACGCTGTACACCGGGTGCCGTTCGTCTTTCGTCACTGCGGTTCTCTGCTCTCTCAATTGAAGCCTTGCTTAGAAGCTTCATTGAACAGACTGTTGCCTTGCTATTTGAGATTGAGAGTGAGGAACACTGGATGGCTGATCGAAAGATTCGATTCGGCCTCAAATGTGTAGATGATCGTTCTTACCTACGACAGCGGCGAATATCGCCCCATTCATGTCATGTCAGAAACAGTCCTGCAGCAGACGAGAAAAAGAGAACACAGTGAGCTTGGCGGTTGGCTGGGAATGTGACACTGGTCTAAACAATCGTCCCGGTCTGTAGGCTGATGGCCACTGGCGCCAAAACGCGCCTTTAGTCTATCAAACCAACAGTAGCGAGCTTGAAGCCATACTTCTTTCAAGAGTTCCAGCAAGAAGAGTTTCAAAAGGCAGAAAGATAGCTCAGATGGTCTCATCTGGTCAATGCTTGCAAGCGGGGTTCTAATGAATTATACACAGGACTTTTTGGTTCTTCACCAAGGACGGTTCTGGGCTGGTTTTGGGCAGGTTTTAATCTGGTTATATGTCCCGTAACCAAACTTGGGCGTTATACAGCCTTGGAACAAGGTTAAATCCCGGTTGACTGTCCAATAATCCAAGCTTCAAGTCTGGTAATCAGCCTTGTTAGCAGCCAAAACTTCCTGTCTAAGTTTGCGTTTTGCAGCATAGGGAAGAAGCAGCGCCTTAGGCACCTTCAGTGGGGAAAAGGCAGTGAGAAAGTCAGACAATTCTTCTAGCTGCCAGCATGATGAACCCAAAACTCTTTGGTAAGACTCACCGTACTCCGAACGGTTTCTTTGCACCACGTGGAGACAACACGGCCATTGCCAATCTGAGGCCCAATGGAGAATACGTGGCAGCAGGTAAGTTTACACTGTCAGGTTCAGCTCGCTAAATTGAAGATTGTGCTTTCCACTTGCATCTGAGAGCTTCCCAGGACCCAGTACTTTCAGTAGCGGCAGGGCGCCTCGGAATCATGCGGTCCGCCCTTTTGTCAAAGCCCCTGACGCAACTCAAGGAAAGATTGCCCAAAACAATTGAGCGTGAAAGAAGTGTGAATCTCCAGCCTCATTGGCACAGCAATGTGTCTTCAACTTCAGAAATTGTGTCGAGGGGCCGATCTGGCAACCGGTTGTTCTAAGCTATTGGACTTCTCTTGCGCAGAGTCGTGGAATCTCGTACCAAAAGTCCTTTTGGCACGGGACAACAAGTCTGCCGGTTCAGAACCAGGGATATTTTATGCACCACTAATTTTGTCGCTAAGCTGGCACAGACAAGTATGCAGCTAAGTGCAACGCCCAAAATTTATGCTCAGTGTATCTATCAGGCTCATCCAGAGAGGATTGGGCCAAAGCATTCTCTCCTTCAGCCTGTCCACCTTCGACTTCTGACCAACTTGAATGTGGCGCTAGAGGGTGACCCTTGCCTCGCTTGATAAAGTCCGACTTCGTCTCCTGCATGCCGCGCGGCGCACTTGTAACCGGATCATGGTACTAGAGATCCCTTTCGATTGACTGATCAGTGACTCGGCAAGAAGCTTGGAGAAATTGAAGAAGAGACTGAATTGACAGTGCGGTGTAATGATTGCAGCTTGCAATCAACTTCCTTATCTCTCACCGTCCCGTTCCATTGCTCTTCACTCTTACACTTTTCGGCGCTCATGACAATTGGCAAGCGACGCACCCTGCGTTGAGTCACTCATCTTTCCTGGTCATACGTGCTTCCTTCCGAGTGTTCAGCAGCATCAGCATTTACCATTCAGTCAGCCAGGCTGACAGATGAGAGTTCCGTACAATCCGGCCGACAACAATAATCAGAACTGCCAGCTGTACGATTTGACGCCGTTAGGATTCGCCTAAGATGTCGGCAGCTTCCAAAAGCTTCAATGTACATCATCTGAGCCAACAAGCAGTCTCCTGACAGCCTTCTGACACTGGATCCGTGAGCAGGTAACGCTTATGCTTGGACTACCTACCTAGGCTTCCTGCACAAAGACTGAGACTCGCAGAAGTGGGGTCCGACCGACAAGTCGAACCCGGAGTCTACCGTATGCCAGCGTGCATCATTGACAAGTGCCGCGTGCGTTTCAACCACCACATCATATACCGGTACTATTGGGGGCGGCAAGTGCCAGACTAGGCCCCGCAGCGCCATAGGTATGATCCCATATCGGAAACGAACCACTGAGGCTGCACTTCTGCGAGTCCGATTTTCTTGCGTCGCAAGGCAGCCGCCATGATTAGCTAGGCTTCACTTTCCAGCATATCCTGGCGCGATAGATTCACAAGAGATTCACCTGTCAGGCCTCAACTGCAAACGCATCCACAGCCCACATGTACCGGCTCCAGAGCTGAACACAGTATAGGTAGATACTAGGTAGCTGAGCCGAAACGCAATATCAACATATTGATGAAGAGTGAGAATCGAAGTGGCGAGACCCTAGCTGAGCCCAGCTGGTACGTACCTACGGTATGACATGTGTGCACTGTGCAGAGCTTTGCTACTTTCATATGTAGTTCCAAGAAGGTAGTTCCGTACATTTCGCTTGAGGGTTATTCAGGTTATTGGTGCATAAGACTGCGTCTTAAACGCTTCACAAAGTATGATGAGGCCATCCTGCACCATCCTCCGTCAGGTACCCAACGATGAGTCCCCGATGAGTCAATGCCTGACATCAGCAGACCAATCGTTAGACTAGTCCTAGGTATCGTCAAGAAACCTGTACTCATAATGCACCATGCAGGCAATCATCGGATGGACCCAACCTGACGTAGGCTGTTGCTGCGCGCGCATTAAAAAGTTGAATTAACATCCAACGGTAGATAACCGACGGCCCGTAGCCGCCGGGCATTTCAACGGTCAACGTTGCATTCAAGTTGAACGCGCCGCGCCGGCAGGCCCGGGCCGCGCGGCTGCGCACTGTCACGTGTGGTCCGACCAGGCTGGCCCCAGTCGCATGTACCAGCTGTCACTACGTCAGAGCGCGGCCTGCTCAAAGACACACTACTATACTAGGTCCTACAGAACGTTGCATATAATGCAGTGAAATGGTCGAATTCGATTCCATAGGTCTCAAACCCGCTATAGCTGGCGCCTTGCATGCCAATTATAACGTTCAGATCCATGCGATGTATACCTGGCATGAGACAGGAGGGCAGGATGCACGGACAAATTCTAGGGAAAGAGATCATGCACGCGCCAACTGCAAAGTACTCTTATTAGACTAAATATTGTGCATTGCACATGCACATATGCACATGGCACCTCGTCATCGCACAGCTAGATCTGGTCGAATACGCAAGGTCCTCGCTTGGGCAGGCCCGGCTGAAAAGAGTTGCAGTAAGGTCGGCTGCAACATGTGTTAAGCGCCAAAGCTTAGTAGTCGACAGGTCTTTCATTTTATCAACTTGACGAAGGCGTTGGCAAGACCGTACCCGTGTCCATGCCTACAATATAAAGCATGGTGCGCTAGATCCGGTTGATGCAGATTCATGCAGTGACGTACGTGCGCGCCGCGCTATGTCCACTCAGCAAATGTGCGAGAATGCACCTTGAACTCACGATCATGGCTGGTAGCAACTAGACAACTTACGGGGAGGGGATAAAGCCCTTAGATGATTGCGTAACATTCAATTAAGGTGGCATGATCAAGAAGGGACTGTGATTAAGTGCCTGAATGTTTTTGAAGGAACGGCTTGATCCAACAGGATCAGAACGACGGTTGTCCGACGGGCGCTCCGACCTTGCTTGGTAAGATCAAATGCGCTCGTTAATTGCATGTAATGCGATTTTTTTGAACTCTATCAGCAGAAATAGTCCCAAAAGCGTCGACTAATATTAACTCAAATGAATGTACAAGTAATCTGTTAATGCATGCGTCGGACGATTGGTAAAAGAGGGCTGCTAAGAGACATCCTTGGCCAGGAAGTCTAGGATCTCCGCGCTCACTCTCTCGGGATCGTCCCACATGCACCAGTGAGAAACCTGCGCCGTGCAATACTAACCGTGTTCGCAGACTTTCTGATAGATGAGCCCTTCAGACATCACAGTAGGATGTGGTTCACAAATGATATTCGGCGACTTGCCACGAGTAATCCGTTGCGTCCAGACGAACGTAAAAGTCCTCCAACTTGTTCGACGACCAATCGCAGATGACAGACGACCGTGACCAACTGACAAGCGTCGTAAGCATAAGTTTGACTTTCGCTTCAACTTACTGAAAAGAATGCGTAAATCCTGGTTTGGTAGCCCGTCTTGATTAAGGCCTTCTCGAGAAATGACCTGATTAAGGCCAAGTTGAAAGAAGACCAGAACCCCAAAGTGCCGAGTCCCAAATGAGAAGAAGAAGTCGCAACACGGATGCACCGGCTTCGCCGCCTCTACACAAGAGACAGTAGAATTGACGATTCCGTCCTTAGAACCGGGTTCAAAATGAAAAGCGCCGTACCAAACTAACAACAACCGATTTTGCTGCGAGAACTAGAGGTGACATCAAGACCGCCCCCCGACACAAGCTTCTGGACAGAACCAAGTGCAATACGTGCTGAATTCAGAAATCAATAAGCTATCCTCACCCCCGGGAGAAAAACGACCTCATGATTGGGCACCAGCTCTTTCGGCGGCGCCGCCAGTTCCTTCCCGAGCGCCACATCATCCTCTCCCCATATGACTTTCACCGGAAGCTCCACCCGCCCAGGGGGATCCCCCGCGGGTGCCCAGTGGCCGCGCCCGCCCGCGCGGTAGTAGTTGATGCTCGCTGTGAGGGCTCCCGGGCGAGAGAAGGCGTCGACGTGCCTGCGAGGAGATATCCTGGTTATTGGATAAGCGCGTACCGTGGAATTCTGTGACGAGAGAAGGGAGAACTTAGGAGCCCAGTGGCCGCGCCAGGCCGACCGGTGATATTCGATGCTCGCGGTGAGGGCTCCCAAGCGAGAAAAAGCGTCGACGTGCCTGCGAGGAAACATAAGAATGGTTGGGTAAGAGCGTAACTGTTGAGGTCTGTAACGAAGAGGGTGTTAAAATGGGAGAAGTAGGAGTTCAGGAGCCCAATAGTTGAAGCTCGCGGTGAGGGCTCCTGGGCGAGAGATAGCGTCGACGTGCCTGCAGAAAACGCAAGCGTGGCTGACTGAAAGAATGTAAGGGCCAAGGTCGCAAAGACCAGCCACTGTATGTGAGATACAGAAGGATCTACCTAGGACCAGTTTTGGAGTACCCCTTTAGCGTTCGACACGAAAGCGTCAGATAGTAGTCAAGTACAATATGTGACTCTGCTCGGTTGGAAACGGCGACATGCCGGCAGAGTAAGAGGTTCGTTTTGGGGTGCCGTTGGATACTGACGTCACAAAAACGTCAACATCGTCACGATCTGCCGGTAAAAGTCAGGGGAAGCTCCTGCCAAGAAGCTCAATTGAGGAAAGGCATCGCATTTTCTGCGCACGGTCAACCTGAGGTTCGATAGTACGGGCCTGGATCCGTCTATTCTGAAGTTCGACTTAATTTGACATCTGTGGCCGGATGTCAGTGGCTGTTGCGGAGGTGGCGGGATTGAGTTGGAACTCTGGCTTAAGCGGCCGTGACGTTGTTGCAGCTTACCGTCTTAGCAGCTCCTCCGTCCGTGGTTTCGAGCCTTTCAATGCGATCTGGAGCCCCTTGTAGCTGCAGGCGTGAGCAGTGACGTCAGCAGGGCGCAACAGCGTTCAAGAAAAGGGTGGGGGGCGCAGGATGAACCTGGAACAGCAAATCAGGCCCCTTGGTATCTCAGGTTGAAGCAAAGCTAAGACGCGTGATTGAAAGGAAGTCGAAACGTGTTCTCCCGAAGTGGAGCTTAAGAAGGATGATGTATTCGCTCGGCGTATAGTCACAGTCGGCTATAAGCTTTGAAAGGGCAAAGAAGTCCAGGGATGAACTCCCAAACATCATGCCTACTAGCAGACCAACAGTTGCGACATCGGACGAGAGCTTCGGACTCAAAGTCGTACCAACAGTGACCCAAGAAGCAACTCTTTCGTTGACGAAGCAGTCCGGTTTGCCGAACAAACGCAGGTGACGGTATCAAATGTTGGGGTGTTAAGGGATGGAGACAAAGGAGAACACGATCCGAATGGAGCCCACAAGAATGACATTGCAACGCCTCATGGTGAGCTGACGAGTAAGCACGTCACGAATACCGGCCGGGGGAACTCATCCAGAGCGGAACGCTTAGAGCGGAAGGCTCAGAGCGGAAGGCACCTGGGCCCCTTCTCTCCAACGGGCCAGCGTTTACGATGATTTGACGAATCTACGAGCATGTGACGTCACTGTGCGGAGAGTGCGGCACTCACTTGTTCCGGCTGAGGAGCCACTCCGGGAGGAACGGAATCTGGAAGAACGCTGCGAACGTGCAAACAGAGTGCGTCAGCTGCGGTCAAGCCTTCTCCCCTCGCTGAATGCAACATAGTTTCTGGTCCTGATGGGTATCAGGACCTGGCTCGGAGTAAAGCAGAATCTGCTTCCTCGATTTCCTGGTCTCAAGATCTTTCCGGTCGTGAGAACAGAGGCGCATACTTCTGCGGTGCGGTTTCGACATTTTCAAATTCGCCCCAAATTCGCCAGCGACAGCACAAAAAATGATGGCGCCGTTCGGCCCTGGTTTCGAAAGGGACTCACTGCTCAGCCTGTGCCAGGCGCTTACCGATGTACCAGCTCTTCTTGCGTTGCTCCTTATTGTGTTCCAACGCGTCATTGAAAGTGCTCGTTTCCGGAATGTTGAGGGTGACGAGCCGCGACACGAGGTGGGGGTAGCTCCGCACGAAATGCCAGGCGATTGCACCCCCCCAGTCGTGGGCTATCTGCAAAAGTGAGTATTTGGTTAGCAAATACGACTGGAATCGAGCACCCGTCGAAGTAGCGCGTCTCTCCCTTTCCTGGTCTTACTCTTTCTCCAAAAGATAATACTCCATCTACTGTTATCGAATCAGTGCTAGTCAAAGTCGTCGACGCAGTTCTCACCGACCCCTGTTCTGCAAGACTCATCAGATGCATACCGGCTGCGGAAGTCAAACGACACGTAGGCTCCCAGGCTTTCGAAAGGAACCGGCACACATGAGATGATACACACGCACGGATCAGCCGCCAAACTTTGCCTCTTGGCTGCATCTAAGACCATAATGAAATATGAAAACGGGCAAGGAGTGAAGAAGCTCGGTGACAAAGGCAGCGGCTCTCTAGACGTCGGCATGCTTCACAGGAACAAAATTAGAGAAGAAGAGAAGAAAAAACCAAAAGCAGATAGAAGACAAATCAGAAAGGAGCGTGGCTCACAAGGTTCGCAGGTCGCCCCCCACTGCTCTTCTCAATAAGCAGCTTGATGTCCGAAAGGCACGGCTCCCGGCCGAAGTCCGCCAGGTTCCGTGGTTGGTCCGACAGGTTATACCTGGAAACGGACGTTGGTCAGCCTTGGCTTAGCTTGTCAAAAACCAGATTAAGGAGCGGATTTGCTTTGATTTGCACGGGCTTTAAGAGAAGTGTCCATGTACTGAGTGGGGCACTGGTCTAGATTTGGTCCTGCTGGCTACCGTCCGGAATCCGCCAGGTTGCTTGGTTTGTCCGACAGGTTATACCTGGAAACAGCCCTTGGTGAGGATTGGATTAGCTTGTCAAGAACAGGTTTAAAGGCTCACCAAGTAAGTGGGTAAGCGGGTCTGCTCCTGCCGATGCACGTGGGCCTGAGATCATTCGCCTCTAAGCAGACTGCTGCGTTGGGCCACAAGAACTCAAGGATACAAGTTTAACCCTCTTGCGCTATATGCGTGTAACTTCAAGCTTCGACAGAAAGGGGTCCGCACAACAAGCACTTATTTAGGTCATTAGTAGCCTCGTGCAAATGACTCTGAACGGGTTGCAAAATGGACAAAACAAACTGGCAGCAAAGGCGGTGCTTGAGGCACTCTCAACCGCAGGGATCCGATGAACTTCGTAACGAGCATCCGACCGTTAGTCAACCGGTCGATCATGGAGACAGAAACGAAGCTCTCATTTTAGACTTTGAGTAGTGTAAAATGAACAGCAGATCGCGGGATTCTTGCGATGGTCGCAATCACAGGGCTACCGTCTGATCTGAAGACAAGGATTGCAAAGTTTGCGAACTTTGGCCAGAGGATCGCTGAGTTTGGCAGGACAGGTTCGAATACCTGGGTTCAATTTAAGGACGACAAACGAAGCCTGGAGCCTTCGATCTTTGACGTCATATTCTGAAAGGCAGCGCTGCCGTTCCCGGTCGCCCCCCACCCAATTGCCAAGTCTGCAGTTTGTCTGAACAGGCTTAAGATTCAATCTAGGTTCTGTGAACACAGAAAAGAAAGAGAGAGAAGAACAGGTTGCTCACCCTCGCATGTCCGGGATAACGACGTGATAACCCGCTTCTACGAGGGGCTTGAGCTGGTAGACCCAGCAATACCAGAAGGAAGGCCAGCCATGGAGTAGAACGGCCTGTGCAGAGAACGAGTTCGTGCTTCAGCCGCTTTCTTCGTTGTGACGGGACATGTTGCTCAGGCGAAGACTTACGTTGTACCGTCTGAATTTCATCTGGACACGTGCTCGGCTTTGCGCGCGATGCCTTAAAAGGGAGAGGTTCCGTGTTGTATCATACAGACTGGTGTTAAACAAAGTCTAAAAAGGGTGACAAGCTGGGCCTCGACCATGTTATTCAGATCCCAGAATAAACCACTTGCGGCTTCAGAATATAGTCTCCTTTCCGGGTCTTGATTTCCACCTTACTGATAGGGACAGGCATGTCAGGCTGGGATTAAAGCGACCAATTGTGATCCGAAGCATTGACTTGAAGGGAGACGCCTGTTCTGTATCAACGTGACAGCCGTACTACACTCACCACCAGTGCTGGCGCAGAGAAACGGCTTGCCAAAAAAGCTCCTCCATGGATCTTGTTTAGAAGGCAACAGAATTGAACAGAGATTGTTAATTGTCCGAGTGCCAAAGTTTTGCTCGGATTGAAACAAAGTGGATAAAGGCACAGCCTACTCAGCATACATGAGCAGAGCAACAAGCCACCCCTTGATCGAGTGTAAAGCGCTTTCATATGTGAACTCACTAGCTGCCCGCCAGGATCCCCCGCCTCAACGTAGTGTAACCTCTGCCCCCCGTTGCTCACGAATCTATGCTTAACAGTGACGCCTTCCACGTCTTCCAGAGAACCATCGGCTGGATCTGGGCCCTGTGAAGTTCCTGAAAAGAGAAACACAAGTCGGCCTCCTTGTACAAAAGGGCGGAGCATCTGTGCGCGTCCCCTCTTCAAGGGGTCCTCAAGCAAAGAGCCTCTCTATATTGGAAAGCACGGAGCGCAATGATGGTTGGCTGATGGGGCGGACTCTTTCTGCGCCATCAATGTACACCTATGAGGCACCAATTCATCGGGGCCACCAGAAAAGAGTTGAGAAATGATACGTTGTGAGGTTGGGGAGGAACTGGAGATGAGGTTCAGAGCTAGTTGCAAGAGATGGTGGCAAGGCCCACTCTAGGATTAAACGCCACCAATACTTCAGATAGAACTTGTTGTCAGAACGCCATTGCATGTATGAACCTTCCCGACCCGCAAAAGCTCCAGTACCAAAGGGGGCTTCCGGAATGTTTAAATACAGGAACGCAGTCTTTCCAGTAATCCTCATTTGCCTTTCCAAGCCATCAACACAGTGGTGTGGCGCTTCCCAGAAAAGGACTACTTCTTACTTGCTGCTCTATCGTCGAGCACAGCTCACAGCTCTCCATTCAAAACACCATAATCTGCTTTGAATCTTTTATGGTCACCTTCTGCCATGTACCCAAATGTTGCAGTACCTTTCTCTATCCACCAACATCTGACCAGATCAAGGAAACCAGAATGGAGAAGAGTGGAAGAAGAAAACTCTGCAACAGTATTTCTAAAGACTGCTGGATAATCCAGCTTTTGCAGGTGTCCTTATGAGCACTTTCCAAGAGCATTCCAAACCTTTTCTGACTGGTAGCACCCATCGTTCATGCACTATCTAAAAGTAATCCATGAAAGACCTGGATGATTGTCAGCATTTGTCGTCCCACCTGCTTCTGCTGCTGCAGACGTGCTCGCTCTTCTCACACCAGGACAAGTGATGTGGAGGCTGCGTCCCACACAAGTACTGGAGAACCTTCCTCTATTCAGACCGAACCCACATTGAGCCACCCCGCTTTTTGAGCGCAAATCTAATGGCTCAGATTGCAGGTGCCCTGCCTTGAAAGCTGTGACAGTTGGTCCCAGTTCTGGAAACCGAGACTGGATGCCATAGCATTCTCTCCCTTGAGGATTGTAAAATGCAGAAGCCTCTGACGAGCGCGCGAGCCAAGGAGGAGAGAAGCGGAGGCGATGTGTGCCGCGGAGGACTGAGATTGCCATTCTCTATTGGATACCCCAGGAGGGTGGCAGCTCCTATTTGAGCGGTGCTGACCAACTTCTTAAAAGCTCGCTGAGGGTGAGCTGCTTGTGATTTGACGCCAAGTGTCGGCTGCGACGCCCGTCAGAGAAACATTACTGCAGCTGCAGCTACAGCTGCTCCATGAGCACGATCCTTACTTCAACAGCATCTCACGCTGGGGGACCATCAGATTAAACGCATCCATGACCCAGGGCTCAAATCTCAACTAACGGATCGTTGTTCTAGCTTGAGAGACTTTGGCGTTGCAAAGCTCCTGGATACCTCATGTTAGTCATAACAAGCATCCGCCTACCTTCAAAGTTGCTTCTTGCCCTACCGGTATACAGCTACTTATAGGGAGTCTGATCGAAAGTAGGTACGTCTGATGGGCTGTGCGGCAAGAAAGACAGCCCCATGCACTGGCCCCTGGGGCCTGACAACATCACCTGAGCGCCCAGCAATGCGCCGCATGCGGCATGCATGCATCATTGCAAGCAGCAACTGCTGCTGCATGATCTGCATGCCTGTCATGCCTGATTTGTCCGGCCCGCGGCCGGGGAACTCCCTCCGCTCCTGACGGCGGAGGGCCGGCCGCCCGGGCCCTCCGCAGGAGTCATCATCGGAGGCCGATTGAGCCTGATGGAATACTGTACATACTTCAACTTGGTCCTGGGCTACAACCTGATCATGAGACCGAGGCCGAACAGAAGATGCTGATGTCCTGATGTCAAACCAAAACGTGCACGTGGCCCTGGCCCTTAAAGCGGCTGAAGCGGCATGGCCCAGGCCCGGAGGAGGCCGGAGTAGAGCCAACCAAGAGCGAAGGCGTTGATCACGGAGCATGGTTGGAGGGGCTTTGGAGAAGAAACACGGGCCAGGACTTATACTCAGCCCGTTTAACTTGAGTCAAGATGCTCAGCTCGTTCACGACGAGTAGACGGGGAAATAACACTGGACGAGCCGAGCCATGCCACTGAGTGCTCCTATGCTCGGGGGCCAAATTAAAGACACAAAAGATAGACGACAATCTGCCCAGCCGCCGGAGTGGCGCCTGAGAGCCTGCCCGTACACCGTCAGGTACGATCCCCCGGGTACGTGCAATTGTGCAACTTGACATGCGCGGAACGGCGCGGAAAAGAAATGGGAGGAAGACCGAGAATGAAGAACGTTCCTCTACGCTAGTCATTGAACGTGCCAGTACTGGCTTTGACCCCGCTTTGACATGTTGATTTCACGAACTTATGGTCCAGCTGTCACGCTGTGTGGCCTCGTTGCCGTGACGGC